GAGGTCAATCATGTGCATATCTGTCCCGTTCTCCAGAACTTCATCTTCACACTGTGTATTTTCCATCTTGCCATTCCTTTGTTTTTCTTCCAGTTGTCCCTTTAATTTTTTAATCTGAAGGACAGAAAATAATTATTAAAATCACTAAGAGAACTTGTGGCTCAAATTCACTCCAGCATTACAAAACAAATTATGTATTTTTTTAAACATAAATCCCAAAAAATCTTCTGTTACAAAGTAACATCCTAGAAATTATTTTGGCAAATGACTCACGGTATTTTACACATCAGTGCTTATGTACACGATCAGGATCAAAACAATGAGTGAAGAATGACTGGTTTATTAGAAAAGCCATAAATCTTCTGCAGGCACATTCATGTAAAACATTCTCAAAAACTCCCAAAGCTGTGTTTGGTTGCGTGCGAGTCTCAAGGCCAAGGTCACTGAGCATAAATGAAAGCACAGAGTGTCCTGCAGGGCAGGAGATCAGCTGAAGTTTCTGAATAAGCATTATAGCCACTATGGAATACCATGGTACCAGCAGTAATTCCTTTAATTGCTCTTTACCCATCTGAAATTCCTCCAACAAACTTTTCCAAAAGGCCCATTTACCCACAGACCCAGCAAAGGGGAGGGCTTACTCTTGGAAAGAAAATTTGCTTCTACAATTTCTGAGCCACGCCTGGTTTCCCTTGGGCTTGGTCAATCTGAAGGATTATTATTCACAAATAAGAGGGTCATATCTTCCACGTATCCTGAGTTAACACACAAGGGGAATGTTTTGGAGGAAGAACAGAGTGGCCAGCAAGGCAGCAAGTCCCCAGCAAGAGCAACCCGACCACAGCACTGCTGCTCTATACCTTGTGTTTGGGCTATTTTCGTTTCCTTAATCCTTCACTTGCCCTGTGATTACCTGGTCTAGCAAGGACTCCCGTTCATCAATGAGCTTTTTCAGCCTGTCTGGAAGAGAAAAGGGAGAGTTCAGTGCGGACCGAGCCAGCGGCGCACGGGGAGCGCATCTGAGACACGAGGCTGGCCCGCTCAGGTTAGTGACTACTGATGGGGAGTTAGGGCACGTACCACAGGACACGAGGCCCAGCGGGGCTGGGAGGGGGCTGCAGCCAGGGCACTTATGGCATTCTCACAGAACATGCTTGTCCCAGCAGTAGCAGCAGCCAGCTGCATGCAAAGAGGCTAATCTTCTACGTTAGGTTAGCATGCAAGAACTCTAGGGTCAAGCACAACTGCAACACAAAATCTCACAGGTCTCGACAGTTTAACACAATGACAATACTGTAAACACCTATAATCACATTCTCAGCACTTTAACTCTTCCCTTCTTTTACATGGCAGTGACATTTTAGCTCCAATATTATGACCAGAAAAAAACCATTTGCTTGTCAAATTATTTTTGTTTCGAACGCAGCAGTCTGGTATAACTCTATTTTCTCTCCAGAGTCAATTCTCCAGGTCAGACATCAAGAGGCAATGGACAGTGTCCACCAACTGTTGTGCTACATTTGGACTTGGAAGTGCAACAGATCAGCACATGGGTTTGTGCAGCCTTCATTAATAAAGTGCACTCTACAGAATGAGACAGCTGGAAAAAAGAACTACAAAGTAAGCAAACAAATCACTTCATTTTTTCTGTCCCCATTACGGGCTGCAAAATGTGAAAGCACATTTTCTTACCACCCAAATGACCTAAATGATCAATTAACAAGCTCAGTTTGTTCAGGTACACCTCAGGCAGGAGTGCACTGCGACATCACATGGAAATACAATCATTAGGAGAGGAGCTCAGCTGGGTCTCACTGCAGGTTTGTTCAGCTGGCCCCCCTTGCCAGCAGTGCAGAGCTCAGGCTGTTCAGAGCTCAACTCCACAGCTGAGGTCTGGCCTGTTGATTAAATGGTTAAAACCAAAGGTCACTCAAGAAAAAGATCTTTTTGTAAACTTTAGGAAAGCAAGGTAAATTACACACAAGAGCCTAGTGGGCTTTTATCAGGTAAATTCTGTTGATAGACAGACTTAAATATTTTTGAAGAGCTTTAAAAATACCATTTCTTCTTCGTGGCACAATTCCTGAACAGGCCAAAGTCTTGTGGTTCTTTCTTTTTTCTTGTTAGCACATCCACTTAAGGGGAATCAAGAGTCTGTATTGAATCAAATCATGATGAAAACTGGTCTCCCAGTGGAAGTTCTTCTGTACAGCATACATGTGGAGTCCATTAATGTGGTATGTCATTCCCTGCTGGGAATACACACCCCCACATAGTCCCATTCCAGATCATGGAATAAAACCTTTACCTTGGCTTTTGATGCAATACCCACATACAGATCTTAGCATGACACCCCAGTTCAGTAGATCTATGGATTAATTTTGAACCTCCTGAAGTCCTATTCTTTTTTTTTTCCCTCCATTTGTAAGACACCCAACATTGTTACACCTGAGCACTGATATGAAAAAAAACCAAAAAAACAAAAAAACAAACCCACTTCTCTTTTGTAAATACCACCCACAAACAAAATTTCTGAGTATAAACCCCTTTAAAATGATAAAACAATTTCACAGATCTATATAGGAAGGAAAGAAAACTTAAGACAGATGAAAGATATGGCAGAAAAATAAAGGTCAACAAGGAAAGCAAGAACAGCAAACAGGTTGGAGAAACTTGGGCTCAAGAGATTGTATTGGGATTTACAGGCCAGCAAAGACTGAGAAATGGAGTTCCAAGGACTGGAAAGAGAATGAGGACTGGTGCAGCAGGAAACCTTTAGGCCACTACAAAATGAGCCCAAGCTTACTGAGTCCAAAAGGGCCAAGAACACATTTTGATCCTGAAAACAATGTAGTTGTGACTTCACAACCCCTGCTGTGGGGTGAAAGCTGCCTGCCTGAAGAAGAGACACCTCTGCCAGCTTCCAGTGAGGAAGCACCCTGGCTTCCCCAAAGCCCTTTTCCTGCAAAGAGGATGCATTTTGGGGTGAACTTTCAAGTTTGGTCTCACCTTCAGCTCTCTCTGCCCTCACTATGGATATCTGTGCACCCCATTGGGGCATGCAGACAGCAGGGTTTACCAGATCAGGGAAAAAATGAGTTTGCTAAAATTGTCATTCACATAGAAGAAAAGTTTTCTGCCTGTAGAGATGAGGGTCTCTTGGGTTTCACTTAATCTTAACCTCCCACATTAGCACAGAAAACTTACTCTGCAGGGTCACCTTAATTTTGCATTTTGAGATATTTTTCTAACAAATCCGAGGACCTTGAGAGCAGGTGAGCAGGAAAGAACAGCTTATTGAATCAGGACAGGAAGCAGCTAATTAAAATTCTCATCGGTAACAGTCATTATCCTTATTCCACATAGAAAGATACTACAGTGAATAATGTGAGTGTGACATTCACCTCAGTTAACTCTGGAAAGGTGATTCCCAGGGTACTCACTGCACCAGTTCATGGCCTCCACACACCAGTTTAACAGAGGACTGAGCAGGAGATGGGGCCTGTGGGGGAGTGGGACACAGAGGGGTGAGCATGGTGCTGAGCAGTGCCTTCTGCCACAGTTTCTGCTTCCAGTGACTGATCTCATTGCCTTGGCACTGCAGGTGACTCGAGGCATTGCTGCTCCAGTGGCACCAGACATTCCCAAATCAGCCACAGATCCTCCATGTCTCTTTCCACTTGGAGAGGAGCATGGAATGGGAAGCAGCTGGTTTTACCTGCATGATTTACATGATGCGTGGCCCAGCAAGTAACAAATCCTGGTGTAAGTGAAAGGGGTAAACTGCTCTTGGAGGGTGGAAAGACATCCCATGGAATCCCAGCCCCAAGCAGCTATTCAGAACAGCCTGAAAGAATCCAGCTGTCAGAGCAGCTTGGGCAGTACTCCCTCCTCAGATCTGTCAGTTTATTTTGGATGATGAGAAAATGCTTTCCTGTCTTTCTCAGAAGAGGGGCACTGCCAGGGACAGCACAGGATTTGGAAGATACTGCTTGCAGTACTGATTTTGAGGGGGACAGGAGGACTGTTCTTCTCTATAGTAAAGAAGATATTGGCCAAGATCTTTTCACTATGTATTCCCTTTTTTTTTATCAAGTAAGTTTACTGAGATATTGCTTTTGAAAGCATTTCAGGCTAGCTCTGATATGCACAAACCTGGACTACAGCATTTAAGTGCCACTCGGTGATGACCAGAAAAGCCAGTGAGCATTTGGGGTTATTCTGGAAGACAGAAGTTTCATACTTGGGTCACATACTCATTTTCAACATTCCAGGATGGATTTCTGGCATACCAGCTACTCTGCACTGCCTCTCCATGTTCTTGCTCCCAGTTACACTGGGAGTGGGATCAAAGCTGGTACTTGGACAGGTAAGATTGGAGGTGTTTCTGCTCCTGTGACTTGGCTTTAAAAAGGATTTCTCTTAAAGATGCTGTGTCCTCTGAAGCGGAAAAACTAGATAAAATCAGAAATGAACTCATAAGAAATACAGGATATAATGGCATGTTGCCTAATTTAACTCTGACAGATCTATCCACAGTACAGGTGAAGCCCAGTAAGAACATTTAATGATCTGTTTAAATCTATGTAACAATTAAAACCCACTTCCAACATTAAACCATATATTACTGTAGAAGTATGGCAGAACCAAATCTTTAAATAAACACTGCTACATGCTAATAAGAAATGCTTATAAGAATATTACTTTTTGGATTAGCATCTAGTGTAAACCCCTAGGAACAGCTGCCAGTACTTACAGAAACCATGCTGGATCTGCTGTAAGTTGGAGAGAAGCCATATGAAAGGAGTTACAGGGTTACAGACCTGTTAGAGCTCTACAGCTAAGGTGCCATCACAAATTCAAGGTGCTCAAACCCCGAGGCTGCCCAGTCCTAGGGAGATGGCTCAATAAATTGAACAAAAGCTGCAGAAAAATGGTGTTGAAATAATACAGGTTTAAATAACTGCTTGTGCAGGTTTAGAAACAGTGCTCTGGACAGGTACTTTAAAGTATAAAATATGTTTATTTAAATTATATACAGCAGTACATTTTGATATACATCTTCAAATTTTGCAGTCTGTCCATGTTCTGACAACTTTGTAACATCAAGACAAATACAGCTTTCCATAGCCCACACCCCCCTCGATCTGCACTCCCCTGGGACATTCATTGCTTAACACTTCAAACGAATATTTATATATGCAAAACATGCTCTTCCTTCCCAAGCACTAGCAGAGATGCAAGAGGAAATACAGCAAGGGAGTGCAAGAGCCTAATCTATGCCAGCAATTCAAAGCAATCCAGCTTTTCCAAAAGGCACAGGGGGACTAGTACACAAAACAACAGTCATCTTTGGTCTGATATCCAGCAAGAGTTAAGACATGCAAAGTTATCTTCTTTCCAGAAGGAAAGAGATAAGATTTGTTTCAGAGATAAAAACATTCTTTCAGAATCATAGTTTGCAAAAAAAAAAAAAAAAAAAAAAATCATGCAGTAAGCAAATGGAATTTTAAACAAAAATCTTCTTGGAAAAATAGATATTTTATATATTCATATCTAGACAGTACTTGATAGCAAACCTAAGCACACATTACAGTGTGTATTGACACTTTCTCTGGAAAAAATAAAAACCCCATGTGAGACATGGTGTAAAAGGCCTATTGTGGTGCAAAGTGCCTAGATGAAGTAAACATGTGTATATTTATTCCTTTCAGCAAGCTAAGACCTGCATGTTGCACTTCCTCCAAACTGTGTATTGCTCTTCCAAAGTGCTCAGACTAAGCAGATTCACAATGATCTAACTATATTTTGGAATACGACCATGTAAGAAATACACACAAAGTGGAATGAAAAGGTATTTTTTCTTCATATTAAAAAAATAAGAGATTGGTTCATAGGCTTTAAGCATTCTGAAAGAAGTTTCACCATCAGTGTGGCTGATCTGCTGAGTTCCTTCATGAAGAGTTAATGTACTTGCTGTAGATCTAAGTACAAGTAAGCATAATGTGCATGAAAGGCCCAAGGTACATTCAAGATATTGATCAACTAGGCTAGAATAAAAAAAAATTCCTATAGAAATTCCCCAAGAGCAGCTATCCACACTAGAGGTACTTTAATTGCATAACAGTTTGAATAATCAAGTTGTGAAGCTTCCTCATTAGGTGATAAGCTTTCAACCTGAGACACAGCAAAACCAAACCCACTCACAATTTCTTGTGGCTGGGTACAACAGTGAATAACTTAGTAGTTGCATCATTACCACATCCGTGCTTTATGCTGAGTTACCTACAAAGACAAAGCTCTAAGAGTATTCCAAGGTCTGATGTCTTGTGCAAAGTGCATCTTTGTGTCCTGGGACGGGTCACAGGGCATGGAACTCGTGCAGGTTTGAGATTCTGAACTCAGGAGATTGTACAGTCATCTCTGGATCTGCCCTTACTCCTTTTACCAACCTGCAAATCCTCCCTGCTTTCAGCCCTCTTAATGAAAGCACTTTCCAAATCCTGTTCCAAAACATCTCGATCCTGTAATTTTCCCACTTTACTAGAATCTGATACTTTGATTTCATCTTCCTCCACATCAGCCTCCTCATCAGCTTTTCCCAATGCTTTCCCTTGCAAGCACCCTGTTTCTTCAGGCTCATCTTTTTTATGCTGCAGGACTTCACCTTTGGTCAAGGCATCTTTGGTTTCCATTTTGTCTGTTCCCTCTCCAGTTTCGTCTCTGTGGGCAGTTTTTCCAACAGCACAATTTCCTCCATCGTCCTCTTCTGCCTGTGCATCAGCTTTCTCTTCATCACAATTTTCATCAGACTCTAGTATTTGATTTGACTCTTCATCAAAATCAAATGCATCACCATCATCTTCCACGATTTCCTCTGCTTGGTCCTCCAGTGTCACTTGTTCACTAATGTTGTCATCCTGCACAGCTTTCTGTGGCAGAGAATTATTTGCACCTTCCTCCACTTTAACTTCTTCACTAATGTTGTCATCCTGCACAAGCTTCTGTGCCAAGGAACTATTTACACCTTCCTCCACTTTAACTTCTTCACTAATGTTTTCATCCTGCATAGGTTTCTGTGCCAGGGAATTATTTACACCTACCTCCAATTTCACTTGTTCACTAATGTTTTCATCCTGCACAGGTTTCTGTGCCAGGGAATTATTTGCACCTTCCTCCACTTTAACTTGTTCACTAATGTTTTCATCCTGCACAGGCTTCTGTTCCAGGGCATTATTTGCACCTTCCTCCACTTTAACTTGTTCACTAATGTTTTCATCCTGCACAGGCTTCTGTTCCAGGGCATTATTTGCACCTTCCTCAGAAACAAATTCCCCACCAGGGTGGTGTGCAAGCTCTACCTCTTGCTCATTTTCTTTCAGTGTTTCTTTACTGGCTTTGTTTTCAGTAGTTACAGTGACACCTACACCTGACTTCTCCTCAGATTCACCCTCTGCTTGTTTAACCACTTTCTGCACTTCACCCTCTAAAGGAACATTTTTCTCTCCCTCTGTACCATCTGCTTTTTCTTCACTACACTGACTTGATTGAACCTCTGCCTTTGGATTCAAGTCTTCTACCAATTCTGTCCTACTTTCCTGTCCTTCCCCAGCCTCATCCCCTGTCTCCAATTCTGACTCCTTCACTTCATCATCTAAGAGACTCGGGTCTACATGGGTTTCCTGAGTGATCACCTCTCTCACAACCTCTGTTCCTGGCTGTGCCTCCTGCAGCTCACCTCCCTGTCCCTCGGGAATGCAGCCTCCTGCCTCCACAGATGCCACACCTTGCTCGCCTGTTTCAGCAAAACCTGAACAATTCTCCAGCTCTTCCATCAATTCTTCCTTCTGTCCATCCTTCTCAGCTGTAGCAGCTTCATCTTCAGTTTTACCTTGTGTACTTGGTTCCTCTGGGGATGCTGAAGCACTGTCCTCTGAAGAAGCTGCTTGGATGAATGCCTGATGCTCTCCACCTTCCTTTCCAAATGGCTGTGCTGGGACATCACTTTCACATGGCTCTGTCTCCTCCAAACCCACAGACTCAGTTTCCCTTGGCTGACCCTGAACTGTGTTCCCAACCTCATCTTCTTCAGCTCTGTCACCTGCTGTTTTATCACTTGTCCCATCACTGCAGTTAACAAGCTTTTCCTCCAAGACATTTGCAGCCTTATTTTCAGCACTTTCTTCTGAGTGCTGGGGTTCCTCTGGAGTGGAACACTCCACATTTCCCTCTTCCCTAAGCAGGCCTGCCACTGCTCCCTCAGGTAGCCCTGCCTGGTTAGAAACCAACTCACTGCTCTCACTTGTACTGTCAGATCCTTCATCCGTTTCGTCATCACTCAGGGCATGGCTGGTTTCAACATCCTCTTGTTCTTCCTGGTCAGGTGCAGCTTCTCCCAGCTCCTGCTCTGTACCTGAGTCACAAAACATTTCCTGAGGAGTCTCAAAAATTGGGTGGCCTTGCAGAGAGCCCAGCTCCAGGTTCTCATTTGTCCTTGCACTCAAGTCATGGTGTTCAGCCTCTGTACTCTCAGGCTGCTGGACTACTGTGCCCCTGGACTCTGTGACCTTTCTCAGGCCATCTGTGTCACTGTCACTGATTGAAGAAGTGCTCCCTGACACAGGTTCTGTGAGGCTTTGGGCTTGCTCTGCAAACCTACTCTCTGGTAACATCACTGCTGGCAGGGCGTCCCGTTCTTCCATTTGTTCTGCCTTTGCATTTTCAGCAGCATGCAATGTCTGTACTTCCTCCTCCTCAGACTCCTCTTTGTGTTCCTCATGCTCAGTATTCTGCAAGATTTCTCTTTTCCCCACATCCTCCAAAATCTCATTTTTCATCTCCACTTCATTGGCTTTGCCTAAAAGACCATTGAGAAAGTTGAGGGGGCCACACCACAGCACTTACCTCCCCACTCAAAACCCGAAAGACAGAATGAGAAGAACAGGTTAATAAAAGATCAGCTTTTGCCAATTTTGTGAGGCAAAGCAGCGATTGTATTAGTAAGGATCCAGGGGGTTTGATCAGTGAAACTCACCACCACCCTCTCAAAGCAAGAAGTCTCAGGTGCTGGCTCGTGTTTTTGTAAGGGAGGAGATTTTTGCTCTTGGCTGTGGGAATGACAGCTCTCGTAGAGGAGATCAGCTGGTTGAAGCAGTGCAATTTAACAGCAATACTTGCAGATGTACCTCTAATGATTGCTTTTCCTCAGCAATTTTCTCTGCAACCTTAACCCTGACACCCCTCTATCCGTGCAGGAGTCTGATGCCATTACAATGGAATTGTGAAGGATTATTCAGTAATATTTTGCTTTTAAAATCTCAAGACAGGCATCATCAGTGCCTGATGACAGACACTGAATGTAAAATCTGATTGGCAAGCGAATGGTTTGGCTGTTCAGAATCCCAGCACAGATCAAAGCTCAGGTAATCTGTGACCCTTATTTCAGCCACCCAAAGGGGTGGGGACTTCTGTGTTTTTTTGAAGGTTATTTTTGTTGTAGCACTTTTCCTTCAATTTATATTTAAAAGCAACAGATATTAAAACAAAAGTGTTTGTTGTTAGTTTTTGGGTCTATGCTGTACCTATTCTGAAAAAAAAAACCCCAGGATTAGGAGATGTAGAAAACATATTACATTTAAAAATACACCCTTACCTTGGTTTTTGGTGTTCCACATTGTTTCCACACAGAAACTGAGTGAAGAAAAAGCAGCCAAAAGCTCAAAGCAAGAGAACCTGCACTTGCAACAACTGGCTGCCTGCAGCTATTTATTAGTATGTTCATGTAGAACCAAAAAAAAAAAAATCCAACAAAGCAAAAATATTACTTTATTTCCTTACACTGATACAATAGTTCTCCAATGAGTTCTCTAATAAGTTCACCACATAAAAGCATAAAATGGTTTTGCCAACCAGATTTCTCCTTCCTAACGCTGTCCACTTCAATTACATCCTTTGAATTTAAGTGTCAATGTGACAAGTAAAAACACAGAAGTGTTAATTTTAAGTGTTCAATAGCACAGGAACAAAGAATTTATCCTTTGGTGTGCTTTGGCAGAGCCCAGCACTGTTGTTCAAGCAGACACCTCTCAGGGATATCAATGAACCAACATACAAGCTCTTTATAGAAAACTAAAATGCCTTTTTTTCCTGATTATTTAAGGTACCTGCTGAAAAATACTGAGCAGCAGTAGGATTATCCTGGGACAATTTTCCAGTTCAGGGTTTAAATGGCCATGTGAATGACTGCTACTTATCCGTAATGTCCTATTTGCATTCCCATCCTTTGTCACCTTGCAGGGGAAGTGAAGTCTGCCTCTGGAGGAGACTGCAGGACACACTGGGAGTGATAATCAACATGAAGCAGGGAAATGCACAGGGAGTGACTGGACAAGGAGCATGCTGCGTGGTGTTAATCGTCCCACTAACAACTGCCCCGTCCAAGCAAAGGTGGATGAATGAAGGACAGACAGGCAGGAGGGGCTGAGAGGACACACAGCACTTACCTAGCATCCCCTCCCCTCCTGTCTTTAATGCCTGAGTGGTGCCTGGGGCAGTTCGGGAAGAATCCAAGTGTCCTTCGTTATCCAGAATGTCTGATGTGTCCCCGTTGGTGGCTACATCAGAGTCTGGGACTATTCCATGTTTCTGTGGGAAGCAAAAGCAATGCTTTAGAGCCTGCTGCTTGGAAAGGGAAGGATTGTCAAGTGCTCTTGTCCAAGATACTCTGAATAAACAATTGCTTCAACCATTCCATTAAACGTGGCTGGGAGTCAGGAAGGAGAACAGATATTGCAGTTCTCAGTTCATCCATCCTGACAGAAAGAATGTGATTCCAGCTCTTTTTTTTTTTTTTTTAACATAAATCTGCTGCATAAGATGTTCCTCAGGGAAGTGTCTCCTACAAAAACAACTTCTTTATACTCCAGTCTACACTAAGAACTCACAATCAATAGTAGGGGAAAGGACTTCATATAGAAAATCCCTGAAATGGCAATTTATAGGCAACATGAAAATAGAGCTACTGCTGCTGAGCTAGACCTAATTTTTCTGCCCAAATGTACAGGGGTAAAGGGTCAGCAGATGAATATAAATATATTTTATTCCTCTTGCATACCTTCAGTTGCTCCTTCAGCACAACCACTTCGTCTCTAAGGTCATCCCGCTCACTCCTTATGGAATCAAAGAAATCTTTCTGCCTCTCTAGTGCCTGAGTTCCCAACACAGACAGAGGGCGAGGAGATGTGAAGAAAGGAAGGGAGACAAGTAAAGGCCATGAAAAGCAAATGTAGACAAGAATGAGCAGATTTAAGATATTCAGGGGATGGAAGGGGGACAGATGAAAAAGGTTGAGTTTACAGATTATAGGACTGAGTTTGCATACAGAGAGAGAAGCCACAAATCCAAGAAAGGCACAGCTTCCTCAATAACCAAGAATTCCTGCCAAAGACATTCGGAGCCCAATTCTTCACTGGGGACCCTTCAAATGAGGGCCCACTTTTTATTCTTATCTGCTAGACAAGCTGATCCAAACCCACATTGCTTTAGCATGCACACTGAAGACTCCATGTCATTCCCACATGTTAAAGGAAGGGCATGGAAGTAGGCCCACTGGATTTCAGGAGTCTTTTTATTTCACATTTTAATTAATTTGAAAGCTGCCATTAAGTCATCCTTGGTCTGGGATGCACCATGTGCAAATGCATATTTTGCTACTGAACTCCCCCCTCCCAGTATTTAAGTACAAATAGAATAATTTTTTTAAAAATTAGACAATTTTCAGTTTCAAGCTGCTACAAATTATTGGACATCACAAACATGGGCAAGCTGCCAGGTTTCTTTCTCCTACTCTCTTCAGGAAGCCTTTCAGTGTTCATCTGGAAAAGAAAGCCAGAGTGGGTTTCCATGTGGCTTTGATAAGAGGTGGTGGGAAGGGATGAGAAGCAAGGGAGACTAGATTTTCATCCCAACATCCTATAAATAACTCCATTACCTCTTTATCCCACTCCAGTTTCTGCTCAGTCTGCAGATCAAATCTGAATAAGAGAAAACTCAGTGCTGATGGAATTGCATTATAAATAGCACTTCCTTTCTCCACATGGCAAATGCAAATGGTGCAGCACAGCAAATCAATTGCCCTTGGTTTGAAAGCAGACCAGCTGCTAGGTTTTCCTTGGATTTTAAGGTACTACTGGGCAAAGACAACACTTTTTGCTATTTGCTACTTCACTGGCAACATCATAGGACAGCCACAGCAAGCAAAGGCACTACAGAGGTGTTTTACAAAAGCAGGATCAGTGTCACTTTGAACACATTGCAGGAGTTGACAAGTCCTACCCCTATTTTTTTGTCTTTCCACTCTATTGTCTCCTGAAGATCAGAAATTTCCCTGACATAGCTCTGCTGTTTCTGCTGCAGCTGTTGGATTTCCTGAGGGGCAGGAGCAAAACAAGAAGACAGAAAGCAGGTAACAGGTTAACAAGGAAGGCCAAGACTGCAGTGATGCCAAAGAATGGAAAAAGTCAGGTGCTAAAGTAAATGAGTATCTACAATGCACAGTTCCTGACATCCCAACTGAACACAATCCTGAAGACAATCTTATTATCCACAACATGACTTAAAACAAGTTACACAGTTCTGTTATTTTCCTCTGCATCTCCACAAACAGCTGTCCAAAATGCAATACTTAGGAAGAATAAGGTAATACTTAGGAAAGTTCTCTTTGCATTAGTCAGCTCTGAACCTGTTTGGCCTGAAACACTAACATTTCTTCTGGTGAGAAACTTGAATAGGGAATAATATTCTCCATGCCTCACATTCTCCACTCTACTGCTACTTGGGAATGTACCAAAGAAGCCATTAAAAGAAAAAAACCAGTTACTTACTGCAAGCATTTCTTCTCTCTGCTTCAAAGCCTCTTTGATTTCCATGAACTGAAACTGCAGTATGCTATGAGCATGCTTCTCCCTCTCAAATTCCTGTGAATAATGAAATATTCACAAGATTAATATTAATCAAAAATAGCATCCCATCAAAAAGGGGAAAATAAACCCAAACACAAAGAAAACGCTTACTGCAATGTAATTCTTGAATATCCCCCTAATCACAATCCCACAAGAGTGCAATTTTTAACGAGTTTGTCCTTTTTCCAAGATGCTATTATTGCACCAAATATAGAAGTGATAGACATCATTTAGCCCATTTCATAAGCTGAGCAGCAGGCTGAAGAGCTTTTACACTCCAGTCCTTCAGACTGCACAGATTAATGGATGGAAATTTAACCCACTCTTCCCACATGGCCATGTACTGAAAGTTAGCTGGACTTTAAAATAAGAAGAATAAAACCCACACAGTATCTTTCAGGAACTGTGTTTTGAAGTGGGGTGTAGTCAAATGCCCCAAGCTACAAGAAGGCAGTTCTGAAAACATAAGCCCCAGTTTTATTATTTGACACCAAATCACTGTCAGCTGCTGAATTAATGTAAAATTTAATTTAACATTTAACCATGAACTGTCTGGACTGCACAACTCTCCACAGGCTGCCTGGAGACACCTTTGTGTGCAAAACTGCCCCAGAGGAGTCCCTATAGACAAACCCTATGAATTTACTTTAGAGATGGAATATAAAAGGAGATGTGATAGTATCAATATAGCCTTTACCAGCCAGAACACTTCTCCCCTTCTTCAGAAATGGCTTAGGGAAAATTCTCATTTGTATGATCTTAAGTACACAACAAATTGGTATTTCACTCAATACTAATTAAACCAGTAATTCAAAATATTGAATAATAATTTAGCTGCCTTCTCCCAAAGCTCTCTACCCCCTCCAAATCTCTCCCTGTTTTTTCCCATGCCAGAGCTCTTTACATACTTTACTTTTCTCTTCATATTGCCTCCTGGATTCTGCCAGCTGTTCCTCTAACTCTAAGAGCGCATCCTTCAGGGTGTCCACCTGGTACATGAAATTGGTTTTCTCATTGTCCAGCTGAGCATTTGACACCATAGCCTTCTTGTATTTCTCCTCAACTTCAGCTAGAGAGTCCTGCAGAGAATAAGCAACCCTGGTCAGAGTCAGAAATGAAGGAGGACACTTTGCCAACCGAGACCTTCAGTGAGGAAATAAAGGAGCAAAGCACAAGTTTGCCTATGGAAAGCAGCATGAATCCTGCGCTGGAGGCTTCCCAGCTGTCCCAAGATGAGGAAAACCTGCTGTGTCCCCACCAGGTTTGTGCTCCCAAGCAATCAGCCTTACCTCAGCACGGATCCAACGCTTCCTGTGCTCTGCTGCTTCAGCTCCTGCCTTCCCGCTTTTCCTGCTTCTCCCTCCTCCCCCTGCCCCTGCACACTGGCAGCTCTAAGCTGCTGCTGAAGATGGCAAGTTGGGATTTTTTTTTTTAAAGGTGAACTGGCCTTGATTTAGGATCACTTTGGATGATCTGAGACCTGAAATCAAGGCAGATTAACACCCACTCCGTACTAATTTCAGAGATCCTTGCAGTGTGGGAACCCTTAAATACTGACTCAGGATTCACTGTGACAGAGAAGGCTGCAGCTTTTGTGACCTGATGTGTGATTTCCCATTAGGTTTCCCATATCACATCCCTTTTTTCTAAATTTACTCTCGAAGATACAATTCCCAGTATCTTGAAAACCCCTTCTGTCAGCTTGACCTGAATATAAGATACTGAGTATAACAACAAACGATGGTAAAATGAAGATTAGCATAATTTTTCATTTATACAGACAAAGTTTGCACTACTTGATTTTAATAAAGAAATAAAAGAGTTATATAAACAAAGGGTTATATAAACAAAGGAGTGTAAATGTGCAAACAAGGAGAGGACACGTGTCAACATTTTAGTTTACGGATCAAACAATTTCTCTTGGAACTTGTGTAATTTTAATTATTACTTGTGTAATTTTAAGTATTTCAACTGAAGTATGGGTGAGTTTCATATACTTCCTTTTTCAGCTGATAACAGAACTGAGGATGACAGTGGCAAAGTCTAAATTGGTTTAACTGACATCTCTATTAACAAATGAGAAAATTTGTCTTTTAGGACATGACTTTGTCCAGTTTCAAATGCTTAACTGTGTTTTGGGGCACTTTCCAGCTCCAGATGAGAAATATCAAGCACAGGAAAGCCACCAGGATTTGGAAAGCTCAGAAAGGAGCTGGAAAGGAAGTATATGCAAGGAAGAAGTTAAGGATGTTCTGCTCCACTCCTTCAGCATGCCACGTTTTGGTGTCTTAGCATCAAACAGTGCAGATTAGGTCCAAATCACCCCAAAAGCCAGTCTAAGGCACATGGATTGAAACATTTTTATGCAATGTGATTATTTTGCTCTATCTGCTACTCAGCGACCAGAAGAAAACCCAAATTTTACCAAAAAAGGCCCTAACTACTCTGTTTCCATTGAAAACTCAATTAAGATGGCAACACCTTCATCTGTCAGCACTGAGCTGATGACACAATCAGCAATTAATGCCGGCAAATGTTGAATTTATCTATTTGCCTTTTCCAAAAAGCCACAGCTCGTGTCACTGCTCACTTTGGAGGTGGGTAGTACATGGATGTACAAGCTGGTTGTTGTACTTATAAACAAAATACATTTTGTTTCTACAAAATGCATCTATGGCTTCACGGAAGCAGTAAGAGCTTCAGCATTCCTTCTTCATGTAATAGGCTTTGATAAATGGAGTTTTGTTGCAAGAATTGTTTAAGGGTGTCTTCTGTCATCTAAAGATGAAAGCAAAATGACACCTCACATTATAAAAATAAAACCAGACAAGGTTCTAAATTCATATTTGTTTTTAGTACTGTAGGAGATGAGTTCTAGTTCATCTCCCAATACTGGAAGGTTTCCTGGATTAGGAAACAATATTAAAAAAAAACCCAAATAATTTTAATTTGCTAGCAAAACAAAGACCTCCTCAAACCAGCAAAGACAAGGTGCAGTAGCAACCAGCAGCCTTTCAGGACACACCTGGAAGCATTTCTCACCACAACCCCCCCAGTCAGAACAGTTTGCCAGTTAATGAGACACTGCACACAGCTCCCAGGAGAACAGCATGCAAGGGTAGCTCTGGGCTCACACTGGGGCCAGGGGTAATGCTCACACACCAGTACCTTCAGTTCTTTCAGCCCCTGCATGTATTTGCCTTCTACATCCTGAATCTGGTCCTTTAACTCATAGATGTCCTGAGGGAGACGGCGAGAAAGGTCAGTGACACCACGGGGCAGGGTGCAGCTGGGAGGGACAAGCAGTGCTCAAGGAGCTGCTCCCACACCTCTCCCACACACCTTAAGGGCTCTGACCCTAAGCTGAGGCCTTGCCAGACAACCAAATTTCATGGTCAGGGGGGTTTGGGCTAATTCTGCTTCTCTTGGCTGGAAAAAACAGAATCTTCAGCGTTAAGGACGAGGCGCAGGCCCAGGTTCAAAGGCTCTGGCAATCCCAGCCCTCCTCTGTCCCTTCCAGTGACAGTCACCTTCTGTCCCAGGCTCTCTCCTCTGCTCTCCAGGAGTGCAGTATGTCATCTCCACTTTCCTCCCATTCCCTGTTTCAGGCTGGGAGGTGCCTTTTACAACCGGTCCCATCTGAGAGACATCTCCAGCAAAGCTTCTCCTTCCAGCACCCGATTCACTGCCCCAGCTCCTTCCTGGGGAAGGAGCCTGAAGGATATTCCCTAGTTTCTTCTGGGTTAAGCATCCCTCACCTTGATTTCCCTGATGGATGCCTCTGTGTCAGCTGAGATGGACGTGTCCCCACTGCCTCTCCGTGAAGATGTCCCTCCCAGAGAAGCCAAGGTAGCTGCTGATAAGCTTGAGACAGTTCGTGCTCCCTACAATCACACACAGATAAACTGCTCAGAACTTTCTTTTCCACATAAATTATGGGTTTGTAGCTTTTCCCTTTTCTTTTTTTTTCTTTGTCCACACATTACACCAATCCTTGCAGTTCTAAGTGATGGGCTTTTGATTAAAATCAAGCTTTCCAAGAAGCAAAAAATCAAAATCAAGATTTAACAAGGGAAACTAATGAGAAACGGCAGATCAAAAGTATTTAAATAATACTGAAATAGGAGTTTGCATAATTTAGCTTCTAACTGTTAATTCTTAATTGGAGAAAGTCTTTAGGGGCTAGTATCAGCCTGCCAGACATTTTCAAAACTTGTAATAATACATTCTGTGCAAGCTTTGGAAGCTCCTCTCCTTTCTGGATATTTATTTACTCTGCAGGAGTGGCCACATGAACTGTTTGACTGTACTTAGGGTTAATGTAGTAGCCTCCTCTTTTATGATGATTTATTTATTTTTACATAAATAACTTAAGTCTCATTACTAAGATCTAATAAACACATGCAGTGTTTGTGTGGCTTAGCCTAAAGCAGTTTCAGCCAACTGCTGTTCAAGGTCAGCTACTTAACATTGAGTAAGGAGGGGCTGAAAAGTTCATCTTCAAAAATGCTGTAGCAGAAGGCTCCAGAAATTCAAATTTTTGCCTCACAATGGATTTTATAGGAGATTTCTGTGCACTCATGGCAAGCTGTACCCACCGAAAAGAATGAACAAAGCACTATTGTCAGAACAGTTCTTACCTTCTCAAAGTCTTTTTCTGGCCTTTCCTCAATCTGTAAAAGAGAGGTTGAGAAGGAATCATTAATAGAATACATAAAGGGTAAGAGCAAGAAGTAACATACCAGAAATGCCACCACATCCTCCCTGTCCCCAAAAGCAAGGTACCAAGTTAGACTTGAAATCTAAAGCTTCAAACCTGTGGTTAATACTCCCCTCTCAAGACAAGCAACTGCACATTCAAGCAAAGATCCTAGACTACAAAACTGACCCTCAAATCAAAATTCAGGGATCAGTCCAAAGTCTAAATAAATGGCTCTTTTAGGGTTTCAATATTTCACTGCAATTTACTAATTTAAAGAGAGGTCCTGTACCAAAACTAGTCTAGAAGAACCCAAGCAGTGAGAAAAATTACCATGGATACAGACAACTGAAAGGTTTAAAAGTTAGAGAACATCTCCATCTAAAATGGAACTAAGTGTAAAAAGGACTGAATGAAATTACAAACTCAGCAGAACTCAACAAAACCTGAATTCTTCTTGGGACATTCAGCACAATCTAGTTGGTTTCCCAAAAGACTCCTAGAAAAATTAATGTCTTCCCCAGACCAAGAAGAGCCTAATTGCCAAGGGGAATAGTGTTTTTGAAACTCATGGAAAAACAATCAGGACAGACCTGATTCAGGGGAAAGCAGGGCATAATTGAGGTTAAGCTGATAATTTCCATTGAAAACACACTCAGAGCCTACATCTCTTCCTAATCAGTACACATTTGGCACAGTTGTTTGGAGCTTTTTTCCTTTTATTACATAGAACAATATAGGGATAATCTAACTCATTATTCTTCATATTACTATGTAACCCTATTTAAAAAAACCCCAGAACTGTCAGGTACCTGTTACAAATCAGCTTTTTACACTGACATCTCACAGCTAAAATTCCCTAGGAATTAGCATTAAGAAAACTTAAGTCTGAGGCTTCAAAGTAAAATAAGCCAGACTTATAAGTACTAGATCTAAACTTGCAAAGACACTGAATAGGTAAAATATTTAGGGAAAAACCCCTCAAATCTCTGAATTTGGAAGCAATAAGAGAGGGTCATTAATGAAGGCAGACAATTTAGCCCAGACCAAGAACAAGATGGACTGAATTGTGCAAATAGCTTTTTATTTTCATGCCAGACAGCTCCAAGTGCTGGATTTGGCAGCCTTCTAGTGTGGCCAAACACTGTGTTGTTGTTTATCAAGACAGCTGTGGCAGTGTCAATAATGACATGTGACAAAAGATTGGGGTGTCCACACACATGTACCTCTGAAAATCTGCGAACAGCCTTTGCAAAATCTGTCCTACAGGGCACAACTCAAAACACTTATTTTCCTCCAGACATTTGCACAATGGCCTCTATTTTCTGGAACAAAGTGCAAACCCAGTTTTTAGGAAAATCAAGAAGGGAGCAAATATTGATATTGTTTTAATGATGCATAGCACGAGTCAAATAGAAGCTTGCATTTACAGAGGGGAATGTTGAAGACAACGTGGTGAGAGGCACAACTACAGTGAGTGTTTCCACTCAGAGCACTCCTAACCACACCTGTGAAGCCTGCTACACCTTTCTTGCAAAACTATCTTAAATAATGACTCTGATGGGGCATAATCTCTAATAATGAAGGCTATTAAGTAACATCTAAAATTGAGCTGGTTAAAGAAACAAACCAGATTTCATCTTCATCTTTCATCCATTCAGTGCCATGAATGCCATACTCAGAGCAGTTTCTCCTCAAAACCAGTAATTATCCCTAACAATTAATTTAAATATTAACACTTAAAAACTCCATCAATTTCGAGAAAAGCCAGTTCTTTACACCAAAATAACATCCTTACAATATACAGATGCCTCCTGCTACACAACACTTTTCTAAGCAAAAAGTCAGGCTGAAACATGCAGCATTTAATTTTATGGTTACAGGGCAGAGATACACCAAAATCTGTCTTGTACAAAGAGAGAAACCTACTTTAGCTTAATATTTTATACAGCTTTCATCGTGCTCATGTTTAGATTAATGTATTCACAGTACCCTTTAAAAAGATACATTTTTCCTAAAGAAATCAGCCACCAGAGGGACCTCCAGGTTTCCAGCCTTCCCCCCAAGCCCTCTGGCAGTTGATTCAGCAATAAATGAGACAGAGAAAGGTCAGGAGAGAAATGTTTATGTTTATTTGAAGTAGTACAGAATTCTTGCCCCAAACACTTAGCTTCTGTATTAGCATTCAGTCAAGAACACTGCAATTGTTAAATAGGCTGAAAAGAACTCCTCCACGTTCACATGCCCCCAGCACAGCCCTTCGTAAAAATATCCTGGCTTTGGGACTTTTCCATCCACAAACATAAAGGACTGACAGAATACTTGCCAGAAAAGGAGATTTAAAGAGGGATTCACCTAATGGTAACCTTTAATTTACACAACACTACCATTTCTCATTTGCACAAGGGTATGGGTCTGTCTCTAATCACGGATTATCTTCCTCTCCACCAACAACTGGGGCAATTTGTACTTCAGTGCATAAAAAGCAGGAAAAGGAAGTAATTTTCCGAGGAACTCCAGCACGCACATCTTTGTTTTGGCTGCTCTCTGCAAAATAAGTGCAGTGGGATCAGAGTTCAGCCTCTTCTGACAGCAATTTCGGAATAAATCCAGAGCCACATTACAAAAATGTCAGCAATATCAGAGCTCACCACAGCTGGAAACATAACGTGAGCAAGATCACCCCACAAGCCTTTATATGGCTAAAGTGCCTGTTTTCCATAGATTAAAAGGATTAACCCTTTTAGAGTGAAGCTCTTTGCCACCAGTGGAGTGTCCAGACCAAAATTAGTTCCTGCAGCATCGCCACAGAGCATCCAACCAAACACCTACTGCAAGTACAGGGATCTTGAATTCAATGAAAGACCAGGACTGAGGCACAGTTTCCAGCTTCCAGGCTCCTGAACAAGGCCAGGGAAGGAAAGCCTGGAATTCTTCTGTCTGTGCCATGTCCCATGCTCGGGTTATCAGAGCAGCTTCAGTGTCCAGTCCGTGGCTGTCCCTGCTCAGCTCTGGCTCAGATCTTACACTTAGCTCAACTTCCTCACGAAAGCAAGGGGGATTTTTGGTGACAAATCAAATTAAAATCATTTCCTGCCCTTAAAGTAGCACAGCTTGAAATGGAAATACGGCTCACAGCAGAGAAAAATTGTTAGGCTAGAGCTGAACACAGGATGGTACCTACAAACCCTGGAATTAAGAGGAAGAAAAGAGGTACTGCAGTCAGTACAGCACCTCCAACAACCCTCATCTTACCTGTCTGATCAGCTGGGCTGGGGCAGGCAGTAACAGAGCTCCTGCTGCTTCTCTGAGAGCCACCTGAGCTCTAGCAATTAGCAACAAGCCTTTCAAAGTCAGCAGGGGAAAGCCACTGCTGAAATTGTCAGGTCTGAGGAGGGTTTGTGAGAAGAATCCTCTCTCAGGAATGAGTGCTATGCCGAACGTCACTGCCTAAACAAACTTATCAGCCCAGAAATGCAAGTTAGCACTGCAGCAAATCCTCACTGCAGAGGGGCCCAAAGCACATCCAGACTGTCAGAGGCAGGGCTAGGATACAACCTACCCTAAACCTGCAGGCAGAGAGAAGGCAAGGCTTCATAAGTGCCTCCACCACAGTTAAGTCTGTCAGTTGTCTTCATTTTATTTCTGGTGAGAGCACAGTAAGTGTCTGCCAGTGACAAAAGGTGCTCACAGCTGGGCACTGGGGTGTGCCCTGGATGCAGGGACACACTGGGGAGAGAGAGCCCGCAGAGCAGCAGGGATCTGGAAGTCCTGGTCCCTGGCCAGTTGGATGTGAGTCAGCAGTGCCTGGAGCCAGGAGGGACATCCCTGTCCTGGGGGATCACCCCAGCAGTGCCAGCCAGGCCGGGGAGGGGATTGTTCTGTCTGCTCTGGCCTGGGGCAGCCTCACCTCCAGTGCTGGGGGCAGTTTTAGATAAGATCTAAAGCTGTTAGAGAGCCTCCAAAGGAGGGACAGAAGATAGGGATAGGGCTGCAGGGCTGTACAAGGAGCACCTGAGGGCAGCAGGTTTGTTCAGCTGGAGCAGAGGAGAGGGAGGGCAGAGCTCAGCATGGCTGACATCCTCCTCCCCTGGGGCAGCTCCAGCCTCTGCTCCCTGTGACAGGGACAGAACCCAGGGAACGGCTGGAGCTGTGTCAGGGCAGGCTCAGGCTGGAGCTCAGGGAAAGGTTCTGCCCCCGGAGAGTGCTGGGCACTGCCCAGGCTCCCCAGGGAACGGGCACAGCCCCAGGCTGCCAGTGGACAACACTCCCGGGATGCACAGGGTGGGATTGTTGGGGTGTCTGTGCAGGGCTTGGATTGATGATCACTGTGAGTCCCTTCCAGCTCAGGATATTCTACAGCTCTGTGTGTGCTCAGGCTGAACCCCCACTGCTCGTGTTGCTGCCTGAGGCTCCACAAGAAGGGAGAGGCAGGATGAACCATCATCATCATCCCAGCATAGCAAAACCTGCCCTCTCCTCTTGTTTTGCCTGCTTTGCCTTAGAGAGCCTTCAGACAAATACTATTGCATCCTGAGCCTGTTTCAGATTTAGAAATAATTGCTTTTCACTAGTAGCTTCTTGATTTAGAAAAGAAAAATAACACCACTCCTGCAATTCATATAAAAAGTCCAGCTCTGCCAAAACATGCTGAGAGCTCAGGCCCACCTGTACAGAAATATCTGATGTTTGCTCTCAGTAGTGTTAAGATCTGTACTTTATGTGAGGATGGTTTAATATTAAACAACATATTTGCATATCTGCAGTAACTGCAAGGACAGCAGATAATCGCCAGTGGGATGACATGAAAAATGTTCAAGAAAAATAAACAAACAGCAAACTTCATTCAGATATAGTGAAATCTTAAAATAGCTACAAAGATAAATATTCACACACTGTGTTTAAGTGTCTTTCTGCCTTTGACTGCATTACCAACATGGCAACACAAGTGAGAACATGAACTAGCAAAGCTGTGCACAGCAGGAAAACCACTGCAGGGAAACTACTGCTGCTTTTTGCTCACTGCTCAGTGAACAGAGATAGGAGGGGAAACAAAACTCTGAGAAAAAAATTTCAGAGCTGCAGTGGCAAGCTATTGTATGCTTTAATTTAGAAAGTTCCATGGAATCATTCTCTACTCTCAAGCACCAGACTAAAAACTCTACAAGAAGACTTTGAAGATTGTCAGTAAAAGTGATCCCTCCCTTTGAGCTACAGGAAAAGCAATGTCTGTTTAATGCAGGAAAAAAAAAAATAGTATAATCACAAGGTGCTGCTGGATTGACCCTGTGTAGCAATGAGAACTTTCAGGATCAGCTGGACTCACTATGACATTAACTCTGCTCTCCTTCAAGGTGACAGAGACAAGGGAAGCTCTTCACAGCGGGAATAAACCACTAATTAAAGCAAAGAAAGGTAATTTAAGGAGTGCCTGCTGGCTCCCTGCAGAGCAGATTCAGCTTGGTGCTGACTCAGCAAAGCATCTCCAGCCCCTTGCATACCAAGAGGCCAAAGTGTAAGCAGGGAATTTAGAGCCCAAAACCTCCCTTGCACCTCCAAGCATCCTGTGATTCCCATAAGCAGCTTGCAGGAGTGACTCAGCTGGCACACAGAAAACACCTGATGGGAACCAACTGCACTGTGGGTACCCAGTTCTTAGTGCCCTCACAGAACTGTAATGGAATCCCTGTTTATTCTGGTTAGGTTTTGCTTTGGGGGTAATTGAAATTCAGTTTGCAAAGGCATTTAAGATGTATTACTAATACAAGTTATATTCTGTAAGAACTCATAGCTCAGGGACTCAGGTTCAGGGGCTAATTAAAAGACTGATTTATTTATAGCTCACCGGCTGACATTCAGTGTGCAATGAAAATCCCTCTGTTTTTTAATAGTTTTAAAAAGTGAATGTACCCTTGGAGCACCAAAACTTCAGAGCACACAGCTCTGTTGCATCAGTTTTCAAATGGCAGACTCCAAAACTCACTCTCTGTGGCAAATTAATGTTGTTATATTTTAGTTTACTGTAAGCTGCATGTTTCCTCTACCAGACATCCTAGAGCACTCAGCAGCTGTCCCCATGCTTGGAAATAAATCAGAAAGATACACAGAGCTGAAAACAGCCAGGGAGAGGAACAGCCACAGAGAGAAAGCACAAGGTGCCATAAAAAAATTAAAGACAGAAACTCCCTAAAAGCAGGGGGTGGCCAAGCCTTCAGTGATGCCTTGTGAAGGCTGACCTGGAACAGAGGCCAGACAGAGCTAAAGAATAAAGCAGGGATTTATTAAAAGGCCTCAATGGACACACCTTGGGCAGCACAGGAGCCCAGCCAGGGCTACACCCAAAACGAACCAAAATGGTCACAAAATGGACAACTGGTCACTGGGTCTCTCACTTTTATAAGTTCTATTTCCATATTGGAGTTTAATTGTCCATTTACAGCTTTAGCCCATGAAGTCCCATCCTTCTTGTTTTCTCTCTTCAGTCCACGTTGTTTATGCTTTTGGATCATTTGTCCTTGTTCCCCAGCTAGAGAAGGAATTGTTTTCTCTCCCTGCTCTGTGCAGAGAGCTCACCATCCCCTAATATGAAGACCAGACCCACACACTAAAGCAGCACAGAATCTGAAAAATATAAAAGCTAAACCCTGAGGCATCATTAGCACTTGAGCATTGCTCAGCCCTGGCTGGGGGCTCTTTATCCCTCTAGCACTTCACCATGCTAAAGACTGCAGTGCCTGGCACTCTGCAGTCCCACAAAGATATTCAAATCCAACCTCTGGAGAGCCCTGCAGCTCTGCACCAAAACACTGCTCAGTGGAGAGAAACTGAACTGCTTGAATGCTGCAGGAAGATTTAGGGTTCCCTGCTCCCTCAAAGGAGACACAGCACTCCAAGCAACATCCCAGTCTTTTCCACAATAACCTTGCTGGGCTTTTTTTCTCCATTTAAAGCAAACACAGCATTGTCATGAGAGTCCCAAGTGCACTTTCTGTTGTAAAAACATACATCTGCAAAGAAATCACATCAGTTTTGCAATTCCTCCTCTGGTTTCTTTGTCTTAAGCACTGCCCAGAAGGTCCAATTAACACCCTAAGAAACTCAGGAGGGACAGTGACCTCTCTGTACACAAAAGACCTTGAAGGAGAGAGGAATGAAATAGTTGAGGGGCAAAGAGAAATAGAGGAGCTCACCACTGGACTGGCCCGAGCAGAGCTGGCTCTGGAGGATGCCCGAGATCCCGAACCAAGGTAGCAGCTGTACTCAGAAGGCTGCAGCAGGAAAACCAGGAACAGCAGGCAGAGAAAAGAGAAAGCCATTAGAACTGGCAAGGGAAGCAGGAGAGGATGTAGAGCATCACATCTGAAATTAGTTAAAGAGATGGTTACATGCAGCTGGACAAAGGAACAGCAGTGAAAAACAGAGAATTGTTAATTTGAAAATTAAAGCAAGCAGTAATTCCACTGGCAGTTCAAGTAGAGTCTTGACTCAATTCTTAGAACACTAATAATTTATTTATATCTTTTCAGGTACCAATGACAAGTAAACAATTCAGTTTTTCTACAAAAGCCTCGATCCTAATACTTTCCAAGAGCTCTGAGGCTCTCTGGTGAATCACTTTACCGTGTTCCCAACATTGTGCACATATAAAATGAAAGGAAGAAACATCCATCTATGAGGGGATTAAAGTAAAAACTGAGCCCAGCTCAGAGACTGAGTCTCTCTCCTGGTTTTCCAGCACCTGCAGTCCTCATCTCCTGCCAAAGAAAGTCTTGTAGCTTTTTTTGAAAGGAAACATCTAAGCAGAGATGCAGGACAGGGCTGGCTGGTTGCTGACAAGTACAAGGAAGATGTCCATTATGTTTTATTTCCAGAGGTTTTAAAGCAGTAGAAATGGAGCAGGGAAATAAAAGTTTAAAGCATCAGGGAAACAGAACTAAAACTTACCCTGGAAATAATGAGTTTATTTCAGAGGTGATTAGGACTGTTTCTCAGATACAAACACACAGAAATCTGAAGAATTATTGCACTTTGGAGATGCTGTGGGTTTTTTCAGGGCTTTTTTTTCTTAAGTCACCTGGCCACTAGAGGAACAGCCAGGCCACTGCAGGGCTGCTCCATTGTCATTAGTCACAGTAACACAGCAGCACAGCATCACCTGCAAATCAAGCTTGCAGCACTAATGAATGGTGAGAGGGTAAGCTGGAAATAACCCCAGCCAGAGCACAAGCACAGCGTCAGGCACTGCCCACAAAACATCCCGTGCAAGGGGCACAGCCCTCGGGCAGGGCAGTGCCCTCGGAGCACCCCGAGGGTGGCCAGAGCAGCTGGGGCTTGAATGCTTCCAGGCATTCCATCCCTGGAATGGTCAGTGCTGGACAGGGCTTGGAGCACTCTGGGAGAGTGGAAGGTGATCCTGCTCAGGTGGCCTTTAATGTCCCTTCCAAGCCCATCCATTGTGGGACTCCGTGTCCTACACTGGCTTTGTGCACCTGATCTTAATTTCAGAGGTGAGAGTATGCACAGTATAAAACTCTGCTGCACACTGTTTCCAACTACTGCCAGTCACACAGTAATTCCTAAATTAAAGGCAAAAAGCACTGAAGTAAAAATACAGATTTTGTTTGGTCACTGCAGTGTTTTATGTTTAACAAAAGGAGGGTTTACAATAAATTTGAAACGTGTGACAGGGAAAAAGTTGTAATTACTAATGAGTCCCATATTAATGTTTCCAGGCCCTAGTTATTCCACAGCTGCTCCCTGTGCATTGCAGCCCTGGCTGTGGAAGTGGCTGTGACCAAGCAAGGCCGCTTTCAGCCTCACCCCCTGCATCCACCTGCCCTTCCAAAAACATTTTTTGGGAACAGCCACCCAAGGTGACACTCCCTCTCCAGGTTAAAAGCGCTGCAAGGTTCAGAGGCGTTAAAACAACCACAGGTGTTGTGACAAGGTCGCTGCCTCTGAGGCAAAGCCCTCCTGTTCCAACTCTCTCATTACTCCAGGAACTGGAGAGGCTGGGTCACACACAAATAAATACCTGTGGGTGGCTCAGGGTGGGATAGGGATGGAGGGTTTTTGTCCTCATGTCATTGACAGCCCGTAAAAGACTTGCAAACAGGTTTTGGGCTGATAGGTTTGCTGTAAATGATGTGAATCAGTGGCGTGGCAAGAGGATGGCACAGCTCTTGAAGGACTAACAAGTGCTCAGTAAGCATTCTTGAAAGTGTTTCCTCCTTCAAGCTAATAAAAATGTGATGTTTAAAGTTAACATCAGTGCTCTGTCTCGAGGCTTTTCACTCCTACGGCCTTAGATGGTGGTTATTTGTTTGCTGGGGTTTTCTTGGTTGGGTTCAGGGATGAGAGGCAGAATAAGCAGTGGGCCCACAGAGGAGGACTGAGAAATCTAGAGATTGGCTTTTTTTCTTTTTTTTTTTGTTTTTTCCAGGTGGACACAACAGCAGCAGATGGCCCAAGTGCTCACAGAGGAGATATGAAGGCATTTCTGCCTTTTAATCTGTAAATCAATTCCTGGAGTTTCTTTTTTTGAAAATAAACAATTTATATGGTTATTCCTTATACTGTTGCTCCCTATCCATGACAGAGCCCTCCACTCTCAAGAACGCACATTTTGGAAGCACTGTCACATATATAAATGTAAAATACATTTGACTATAAATCCAAGAAACAAAACTAAGCAACCCATCTATTCCCAAAAATAATTTACTTCACACTGCTTACGTGGAACTGATTTTTGAATTTTTGGCTGATTACGTTTTAAACTCGTATTTTTCTCAGTTTAGACAAGAAGAATTAAGTCTCAGGGAGGGTAAAGGATCTCATGTATGGCCTTTCCAAGGTGTTTTATCTGCAAACCGAGCGTGAGGCAGAAGCGGATACCCTGTCCCACAGAGGGATGCGCTCCCATTGATCACTGCTTCACGGAAGCTCGTGGTGCTCCCACTCCTGCTGCCTAGAGATGTCACACAGCCCAGGTGGAAGGCTCCCCAGCCCGGCAAAGGACAGAGACAGAGCAGGGAAAAGCAGAAAAGCTCTTACAGCGCGGGAACTGGGGGCACTATAGCGCCGGCTCCCGCTGTAAACGCTCTCCTCGTACACAGAGGCCTACAATGAAAACACAGAGTCAGCACGGGCACAAACCCAGCCAGCACCGTGGGCAAGGACAGGACAGCTCCTGGCTGCAGGCACAAGCAGCATGCAAGGGAAGAGCCAAGGAGACCTGACGTGCAGGATGTGACACAGCCCCCAGATGTGGCACCAGCCCTTCTCCCAGGGCTGCAGCTCGACTTTCATTTAATGGTTTGACTGCCTGTCCGTGAAATGGCTACATCAATTCTTACACTGATCCCGTGTTTCACCTGCATTGCTGGTGCTGGCAGTGATGAGCTTCACTTACCAGCCAGTTTAGTAAATTAATAAATGAAGAATTACTATATTTTAAGACAGACTCCGGTTTAGCACAGAGATATATGGCTCAGGAAATGCAAGGGGAGTAGGAAACTCTACCTTTAAGCTTTGAGAAAAAATTCTGAGAAGCTCATTTTAAACAAGAAGGCAGGAATTTGTCTAAAAAAAATAAATTTGTGGACAGATTTTTGTGAGTTGTTGAGCAACCAGCAAGAATTGATGTTGCCTCTCTGTCCTGCTCCCGGAAAGACACCGAGGAAGACAATTCCCTGGCAGCATCACAACCCCATGAGCACAATCCCAACAGGAATTAAAAGGAAGCATCAGCAAATCCAGGTGTGCATCACAAACAGCATCACACAGGTGGCATTCAGATGGGTGGGACACCAGGGGCTGAGACAAATGCACCCCAGGGGAATTACAGAGGCAGGGGACAAGATGTGCATGGCTGGGGGTGAGTGGCTCTGGTGTTGGTGTTCAGAGCATCAGCACAACAAACCCTGTAACTCCTGGCTGGCAGGGCATCGCTGTACAGCAGGGAGGGCTGGGGGAGACAAGCACAACACTTTTTGTTTTGGCACAGTCAATTCAACAGAAAAAAAAGGGGCCTACAGCAGAATGAACCCGCTCGGTGACAGATTAGGATCACTACATGACAACAGAAGGAAACCCAGTACAGAGAATATTAGTCATGTGCGCCATGAAAGCATTAGATCTCTGCTCCCAAAGACTAAGAATACCAAGCAGGCACGTGCATTTCCTGCAGGAAGGGAGGACACAGACAGTATGCAAAAGCAAAACAGCAAATTTAATTTTAGGTTGTTAAGCTGTTATTGTCTCCCACACATTTGTGTACAGGAGCCAGAACTGGGGTTTCTCCTCACTTCAACCAAAGCCAGAAAAAGAGCTACACAGAAGTGCTTCAAAGTACACGCTGTTAGTGTTTCACACAGCTGTAAGATCATCTCCTGGATGTTTCATTATTCACAAATGCAGAGAAAACTCAACTAATTCAGGAAACAATTAGAAGTGTTTCAGTCAGAGCAGCCTGAAACAAGTGTTAGTAACCATCCCCCCCAAAAATGCAAAATTTAAACCAACCCAGAGCACTCTGTGTCTGGCAGAGCTGGGTGCTAGAGACACTCCAGCAGTGATCCCCAGCCCAGGGCTTGAGGCCAGGTCCTGCTGCCAGTGCCCCATCCACACCCCGTGCTGTGTCCCCAGGCAGGACCTGGAGCCCTGCTGGAGCTCTGCTGGCACCCAGCTCTGCCACACACAGGGGACAATGCAACCTCCCAGGGGTTTTACAGCTCCACTGATGTTCTCCCAGCACTCTGAGAATTGCTTCCCTGTAATTTTGTGTGGTGCAGACTGGATTTTCTCAAGCTCACCAGACCGACACGCCAGGCAGAGGAGCTGCCTCAAATAGAGAACTTCAGGTAATTAAGATTTCCCTTATCTCTCCAGGCCAATGGCAGACAAGGAAAGGGAGGAGCAGCAAAGGAAAACTGACTGTGCTCGTTTGAAAAGTTTTCCATTACTCATTCCAATCTTAAAAGGTCGGATTTGTTTGGAGCTTTTTTTTAAAGTTTCACTAAAAAGAGCTACAGAGACTCTTGACAATTGGCTCAAATTGGTTCCTAAGTACAAGAGGTTGTATTATCCAAACTAAGTCCAGGCCAGGTGAAGCCAGAGGGCAACAGACCCAATTTCCATTTTGGGAAGAAAGTTGAGATGTGGAAGCATAGCTGCTGTTGGGGAGACCCAGGTCAGAGTAGTAGGAAGCCTGCATTAACAAAGAAAAAAAAAAAACAAACTCCTTGAGAACTCAGCTTCATTCTTTATTCCTTTAAATGGGAAGCAAAAAGTAAATTAAGTGAAAACAAACTGCAAAGCAGTCAAAGTGGTCACAGATGCAAAAAGAAGAGAGAACTGCATTAAAGCTGTGAGGATGTGTGAAAATTGTGGGACCTTTGAAGCACTGTAAAAATGCACTGGTCAGAGATCTGGTCAGCTTCCTCCTGACACCCTGAGGAGTTTATGTCCTGTAAGTTACATCCCCTAGGAGAAGGTGAGATGCTGGGAGATGGGGAGCGAAGCCAGGGACCAAAACTGCTGGCTGTGCCCAGCAGGAAGTGTGAGCAGCCCACTGTCAGATACGTCAAGACTGAGTGGGGAGAAAACTCCTCCAAGAAGTGAGACTGTGTCCATGAAACACCTTCTTTAAATCCAATACCTTCTCTCCCTGCTTTCTGCCTTGCATCCAGTCATCCCCACACTTTTGGTCCACTTCGGGGATCTTAATGAGAAGGCTTGTTCTGAAAGATCTCACACCTTCACCTCCTCTGCTGCTCTCCAGAGCTCTCCTTTCACACCTATTCCGTGACACCTTTCCTTTCCAAACACTTCTCATGGGGGTCTAGACAGCCAAGGCTCTCTGCTTCCAGCAGTCAGCTCCTCACAAACCCTAACTCATCCTTGCCTCCACTGTGGTCCATGGAGGTGTTGATTTCCTCACAAAGGAGGGAGATCTGTGGCAAATTAAAGAAATTTGTTTGCTTTCGTCTGTCACTGCGAGCAAAGAGAAATTTAGATCTGACACAATAACCACAGGTACAGGCTGAGAGCAAATCATTGTCCAACTTCAAAAAAAACCTAACCCAAGAAACAACCAGCCACAAACCAAAACCCCCCAAACAATGCCTGTACCACGAGACTTTGACTGAAAGGAAGCCCGAACTTTAAGAAATTACTTTCATTCCTGCTTAGAGTTTGCAATCTGCACGTGGACTATTTGGCACATGGCATTAATCATATTTAAGGGATCAAGCCGTGACACTGCAAGTGCAGTGTGCACATGGAGATCGGTCCATTCTGACTTAAAACTGGACACCTATTTTGGAAACAGCCATTGCCAGCAGGTTCATTCATCATTTCCCTGCTGTCCTGAAGAATTTTCCTCTTTTTCATTTTTCCTTGTCACTTTGACAATCTTTAGGATTCAGCTTGGGCTTTTTGGAGAGAATATTCCTAAAAAGTGAGTGCCAGCCAGGCTGGCATCAATTTGGTTTGAAGTTTCAGCTATTCTGAGTTACCCCCAAACTTTCCTCCCCCTCCTAATTAATGATTAAACCAAACAGCAACTACAAGGAACTAACGATGCTGCTGTAATTAAGCCCTGCTCAGACTAAACCCCCACGCTGCAGATGCTAATTCCAGCATGATTTTAAATTATTTAAATGGAAACCAAACAACCCCTTCTCCCTGGATGACTTTCTTGCAGATATTTCGCTCTCCCTGCAGTCCTCGGAGCACTGGAGTATGTCAGTGAAGAGTAAGAACATCATTTATCACCAGTGCTACAGAATAAAGCTCCTTGAACTCCTCAAATGGGCCAGCAAGAGTGCCAGCAACAGGACAGGCTGTTTTCTCAGCAGCTCAAGCAACAGTATTTCATTGTCTCTTATCCACATAATGCCAGCTAAATTATATGGCAGCAACAATTTTAGATGGACGTGAAATATCAGGTTTCACTGTTTATCCAGGCTCCTGCTTAACTTCATGCCTACAAAGTAACCCCCTGAACTCTCTCTCATGTTCAGCGTGTTATTGCTCAAACACTTGGACAAATGGAGGCTTAAAAGAGTTTATTTTTGGCCTAAACACTGAGCTTTAGGCTGCATACCACTAAATTTCTTTAGAAGCCCTGATAGCACAAAGATCAACAGGCTCTGAGCTTTTGTCTGGCTTTGTTCAAATAAAGGGGAAAAAAAAAAACCCAAACCCCAAACAGTTCTCCCTCTGGCCCCAGGCTGTGCTTGGACAACCCCTTAAAATCATTTGCACAATCCCCAACTTTTAACAAAGCAGGGCCAGGAGCTGCTGTAATTGACACACAACACTTGGTTGTGCTGGAACAGGAGGGAACATTGTGACCTGCATCCTCACAACTGAGTTAATAATTAAGCTTTTTTGGACTAGAAATAAAAGTCCATCAATGTTAAGTAGTTAAGTGGGAACACTTGCACTGGCTCTTCAACTCTGTAGGCGTTTCCAGAAACCCTAGGATATGGTTTATAAAGGGGAAAAAAAAAAAAAAAAAACCAAAAAAAACCCAAACCAAAGGCATTTAGTTAAGCAAACTTCAAATAAACAACATACATTTGGGGAAAATTCAAAAGCCAAAGCCCATTTTAACTATGCAAATCTCAAGGCATGGACTAAATGAGGAGATTCAGTACTAGAGCACAGCACGAACACCTTGCAGAGGCTGAAAAGCACTCGTTCTCTTTCCAGCATGTGGAAATCCTCCCTGCCAGTGCTGCCACAATGTAATTTTTACCCAGTTTTGTTTACAAGTTAAAGCACTTCTGGCTCCAAGATCTCTCTGTACCAATTTCTGAGACTCCCCACTCAGGGCCTGATTTTTGATTTTTTATTTCCCAGACAGCTTCTTGCTGCACCTCCAATGCCTGACTCCAAACCCACAACATGCAAGACAGGTAAAACCTGCTTCACTGCCAAAAAGAATTTGCTAATTAGCTTTAATCCCATTAAATGGAGTGATAGAATTTTGTAGCAATAGAAATAATCTACTAACCCTGCTAGATTTTCTACTCTGGGATGATCCATACACGTCTTCCTCATAACCATTGGTCTGTTATGGAAGGAAAGGGAAAAAAAAAAAAAAGGAAAGACAAAAAAAGAGAGAAGAAAAATTGACATTCCCAAGGGGAATTTTTAAGCAAATGTCATCACTTATGAAAGGCAAAGGCAGAGACAGAACTTTTCAAAGATACACCAGGAACAGGAGCAGTGCAGGACTGGGTCATGGTTTCAAACACGAGGACACGAACATTTGTGTCACTGCCTCCAGAACAGCCAGAAATGTCAAGGATACTCCTGCTTGCCCTTTTTGATCCCCCCCTTTCTTTTTTCTTTTTTGCCTCCCCTGTTATTACTATATTCAAACATTATTCTATATTCAAACACTCTGTGAAGGGAATAGGGCACAAAATGGGGACAAAAAGGAGATCAGAGACTACAATAAAGGGCATATATATCACTATAGCTATTTATACCTCAGGCAGCTAAACACCTAAAAAACAGCAATTGTAGTAGAGGCATTAATTCTATTTGAGAAACCCAGCTTAGCAAACATGCAGTGCTGTATAAATTCTCTTCTTTTTGATTTTGAGCATCAGAATTAAACCCAGACAGTGGCCATCTGCCACACCCCAGGATTCTGCAGCAGTCTTGGGGCTAGTAGGAGATTTGGGTGGGCTCAGCTGTCCTCCCTGGTGTCAGGAAGATGTTTTCCTTCAAAGGAGAGAAAACAAACAAGCCCAGAAGGACTGCTCCACGAACAAGGCGAGGTGCTTCAAATCCCTGTGGCAGCAGTGCTGGGAATAAAAGAAAACAATCAGTGGCTCAGTCCTGAGTCTGGGAATGCCGTGGTGAAGAAGAGAGGACAGACCCAAAAGTCTCCTCAATAGACAGCATTAAAAGCTCAGGTTTCCCCAGCAATTCACTGTTCTGGTATCACCTCACAATGAGCCCTGGTTTAACACTGAAGACAAGGAAGCACTCTGTGTATTTGAGGTCTGAGGGTTTGGTGGAAATTTAATTAGAACTTCTATTAAAATTAAGTTTTGAAGTCCATGTTTTAATGAGTTCCCAAAATGAAAATCCACTAGAACTAATCTGAATCAATTTCCAAGAGAAATATTTATCATCTACTATACAGCAGCTTGCATGAAAAATTAAACAAATTAACTTAGAAACCAGTTCAGAGCCAAGCTGGGAAAGCTACTTCTGGGAAAAGTTTAGATTCTCTATTGAAATGCAATACTATCACCCCAAATGGAAGGCAAACATCCAAGTTTCTTTTATTCAAGAACTGATTTGAAATACTGCTGTAGTCTTCTCACACAGCTTGGCCTCTTTCCAGTTTTTACCAGGTTGTTTTTTTGTTGTTTTTTGTTTGTTTTTTTTTTCCAAGCTCCTTGAATTTCTCCAACGCTTAAGAATGGTTAAAATGGATCTCCAGCAGCTGAAGGCAATGATCTGTGCAAACCAATTACCTCCACCACCCCTTTTATTGCTACACTGAGGACTTGTTTGCCTTTTTCAGCTGTGCAATATTGACTAAACGTAACCTCAGATCACTATCTGAACCATCCTATTACTTTGTAATGGTACCCTCATTTTTCCCAGATGTGGTATTCCCCATTTGTTTTTACTGTTATTCCACGTTGACAAGTTGTCTCCTGTTTATCATCAGTATTTTCACTCTAACCTTGTATGAAACTGCCTTCACTCCCTGCACTTAGCCCGCCAGGCAATACAGACTCCTAAAGAACTGCTTTTCCCTCCTTAAAAACCCCAGATGATGCTGTCTTAGCTGGGAACAGACCAGCTGAGATCCTTCCCAGCTGTCCTGTTCTCTAACAAAGTTATTTTCCAACTGTACATTCCTTTTACAAGAACGAGATCTGGCCCAAGGTTTCACTTAGTGTCACGTAGAGACAGCCAAGAGCCTTACAGTCAATTTACAGTAACATCCTTTATGCCCTGAAATAATTACCCTGCTTAGGACCTCCAGCTGAATTGGCTTGATGAATTTTCCACAAGCCCAGGGTAACTGGTTATCGCTTTGCAGTTCAGGCCCTTCTCAAGGAATCTGCCTCATTTGCCTTGGGTCTCCCAGATCTGAGCCTGAAGCCCCAGAGCTGAGGCCATTTCCCCTGCCCCTCTGACCCATCCTCTCCAGAAACCTCTCCAGTGCATATTTTTGAAGGCAAATGCTCCAGGCAGCTCTTGGAGAGCAGGGTCAGTTTTATCAGACCTCGCTGACCTTTGTTCTAGGCTACGTTTACGTGCACAGCATCTGACCCTCATGAAAACTGGAACAAATAAAAGTGCATACTAGAGAGGCTGAAATGACTCAGTTTTACTTTTCTCCCTTCATTGACCCTATTTCTCTCTGCATTTTCTTCTTGCTTTTGACACACAAAGGACACAATTTCTCTGTCCATTTCTGCTTTTTTCTACCTCAGGCTGTGGCTCATGCTGCTCCCTCAGGCTTTCTCAATCCCACAGCCAACTTCCAGCCCTCAGAAAAATTCCCTGCTCACTTCCAGTGTAGCAAAGAACCCCAACCCAGCCTCCACCTGTGATGACTTAAAGAATAAAGCAGGGATTTATTAAAAGGCCTCAATGGATCCACCTTGGGCAGCACAAGAGCCCAGCCAGGGCTGCACCCAAAATGAACCAAAATGGTCACAAAATGGACAACTGGTCACTGGGTCTCTCACTTTTATAAGTTCTATTTCCATATTGGAGTTTAATTGTCCATTTACAGTTTTAGCCCATGAAGTCCCATCCTTCTTGTTTTTCTCTCTTCAGTCCACGGTGTTTGTGCTCTTGGGCCTGAGATTTGGATCATTTGTCCTTGGTCCCCAGCTGGAGAAGGAATTGTTTTGTCTCCCTGCTCTGTGCAGAGAGCTCACCATCCTCTAATATGAAGCCCAGACCACAGACTAAAGCAGCACAGAATCTGAAAAATATAAAAGCTAAAACCTGAGGCATCAGTGTCCTCTTTGCCTGCCTGGAATTGCTTCCCATAAGATTCACTATGACAGGGGGTGAAATGAGATGGGCTTTAAGGGCCTTTCTAACCCAAACCATTTGGGATTCTATGACATTCTCTCAACATTGCCTATTTCTTTCCTTCTTATTTCTGTCATGTTCCAGCTCAAGTCAAGTAGCTCCTGTAAGGTTTTGAGTTCTCCCACGTGTTCTTTATGCACAGCACTGAAATAAGAGTTTGGATGATCCCACATTTTGGAGATGAACTGATGCTCATTATTGCCTAGCAAGTGCTGATAGCTGTGGTGTATCCTTGACACTGGGCTGGCAGCTCTCCCACCTGCACACACTCCTTGTCCTGCCACAGTGGCTCTGTAGGCAGAACCCTCTCTGAGACAGACAAAAATACATACTGCTTTGGAGTAGCTCTTCTTTTTGGTCCTCTCACTCTCTAATCCAGCCTGCAGTGGGATGAAGAATGCAGGGTGAGATCAGTGAGTGCTGCACACCCATGCAGGGCCAGGCATGCACATCCCCATGCAGCAAGAGGAGCAGAGCAGGGCTCAGTGAGTGCCCAGCAGCCGATGCACCCCCGGAGTCAAACGCCCGGTTATTAGGGAATATTGCTCAAATGCTGATGGCACTGTTAAATTTAGCAGCTGTGCTTCCAATCAGCCACACTGGCTGGGCTCAGTCAATTCAGAGCTGCCAGCTGTCCATCCTGACTGTATCAATACAGCCATGCAAACACCCAAACGTGCTGGAACTATTCTGGGATGTAGGTCAGGCACAAATGGATGCGCTGTGCTCCTGATTGGAAATAGTGCCGGGAATGAAGGAGAGGGGAAAAGCAGGAGAATCTAGAGAACTGCACTGCCCAGTTTGCTTCCTGAAGACACCAGCACACCTCCAGTTCAACACAAGGCAGCTGGAAATGTTTCAAAGTGAGCTTTAGTCCTCGTTGCCCCTTTCTGTTCTTTCAGGAGCAGCTTTATCTCAGTGTTCGCAGAGCAAACACTCGCTGTCAAAGCATTATTATTAATCTGATTTTGTCCTCTAAAGTGAAGGTAACACAAGCTGCAGCTTCAGTAGGCAGTGTGTTTATCCTGTCACCTTTGCTAGATCTGTTTACAGTGAGGTTATGAGAGTTTTATTCCTTTCCAGATCTGTGCTGAAATAAATCCAGACACGGCTGGTCCAACAATGGTCAGGCTTTAACAGAGACAGTGTTTTAGGGGAAATCCAAGCCATTCTGCTCTGCCTGTGGTAAGTACTGAGCTAAACCCAGCTCAGATCCCTCTAATCATTTGTCACTTCTCATCTGAACTGTGTCAGAGCAGGAGGAGAGAGGGAAGTGGCATCCTGACATCACAGACCACAAACTGCCTCAGGATGCTTCCAGATCACCCTGATCTCAGAGAAGTTATCACAACCCATGTTAGCTTCTTCTTCATGATTAGTTTTTGAATAAACACACACACACACTCTGCAACTTGCAGACTGTTCTCACCAATGGGTAGGTGCTGGCATAATCCAAATGAGACTGTAAATGTATGAGAGGAGAGGAAAATCAGAATACAGAGGAAAACATAAGTTATGTCAATCAAAGGAATGCCCCGAAACAAAACAAACAACAAACAAACACAAAAATAGTCAGGGAGATGTAAACCCCAGCTAAAGAACTTTGATAATGCAGGATTTCTTGCACAAAGGCACAAGTTTGGAAGCTGGGAGGATACAAAACAAGGATGCACAAATTAATCAGGAGTGATGGACAACACAACAATATTTCATGCTGATGGTGTTGGATTAGAGACAGCCAGCTGGGAAGTGGGAGAACCAGGACAAATGAAATAGAAAAGGGACTGAAGAGAGGCTCAAGAGCCTCAACAAAGGCTGATGTTACTGAGCTTCCCTAGGAAAATCTGCCTGATACAGAACTGAGCTTGCAGAACTCCTGAAACAGGACTGGCAGGAGCTGTTGATGGGATCAGGATCATCAGGGAAGCTGCTGAAGAAATCTCTCCATGGAGGAGCCACAGACACAGCCAAGCCAGGACTGCCTGGACCCCTGGTCCCTGTTTGCAGCACAGCCACCGCTGTGGAGCCTCCTTCCACTTGCTAGCCTGGTCTAATGAATATCTCTGGAGGTTCTGCAGTGTGTAGTGCTGCCTGCTCTGCCAGAAGCATCCAGAAGCTCCCCAAAAGCTACCTCAGCACATCTCTGGTGCCTGCAGTCCAGGCATCCACTTCAAAAATATTCCAGGAGAAAAGTCCAGAGTAAAACCACACAGACCAGTGAGGTGGTGAAGCCCTAGGGAGAAGTGAATGTCTGATATTGGCTCATTTCAGTGAAAACTTCCTGCACAGAAGAGAAGCAGAGCTGCAAAAAGGAAGCCCTGGCACCACCAGCCCCTCACAGAGCAAGGAGCCCGAGTGCCAAAGATGGAAGATGAATTTTCCAAAAATGGCATCCTGCAACAATGGAAGGAGAGCCTTCAAATATCTGAAAAGACAGCATCATTCAGATTTCTCCAAGTCATTTTATAAACCCTTCATGGACTCCAGGCAACTGTTTCTGATGCTGTCTTCAGGCTAAAACAGCTCCAAAGCCAAACTGGACACAAGAACTCAGGGGATTTCTTAAGGTTGGTCAAAATGTATGGGGCTTTTGGCTTTGTTGTTTTGAAGAGAGATGCAGCAAGAGCCAAACCTTCACAGATTGGCCACCAGATGTGGTCAAACTACTACAAATTACATCTGCTGTAAATCCACACTGGGAAAGTGACCAGAGAGGCTGTGTACAAGGGCCTGGAGTGACAGGGAAGGAAAGGAAAGAATGGCTTCAAACTGACAAAAAATAGGTTTAAATTGAGTATTAGAAGAAATTCTTGCATATGAGGGTGGTTAAGCCCCGGCACAGGGTGCCCAGAGAAGCTGTGGCTGCCCCTGGAAGTGTTCCAGGCCAGGTTGGACAGGGCTTGGAGCAGCCTGGGCTAGTGGAAGGTGTCCCTGCCCATGGCAGGGGGTGGAACAAGATGAGTTTTAAGATCTTTTCCAACTCAACCCATTCTGTGATTCTATCAGTTAATTGTGAATAAAACAACTGGAAGATGTAGAAGGCTGAATTTCAGTTCAGACTGGCAAATATTTACATGCTGCTACAATCCCAGTGACACAAGAATGAGGCAAGGAAGCTCTGTCAAAACTTCTCCTGTGCCTGCCAAAATGTCAGCGCATCCACCACCAAATGCTGCTTTTTGGAGACAGGGCCTGTGAAACATCACTGAGAAACACCAGTGTGGAAAGTTTCAGCCAGATCCTTCTGTCAGAGAAGGACATTCCTTGCAGAAGCATGAGGAATTTGTGGCCATCCCACGGAGCAGCTGGAGGCTGCTGTTCACCAGGCCAGCGCTGGTTATCACAGCCTGATACTGCTCAGGGGGAAAAGGGCCAGAAAAGCTCCTCCAAGGCATGGTGAGGAGGCAGAACGCAGAGCTTCTGCTCTTTAGATGTATATAAACCCCAGGATTGTGTTGCAAAAACACCTCAGAAAGAATCAGTGGTGGATTTCCACTAAGAGATGTTTCAGATGAAGATGTGCTATAAACACAGAGCCAGTGTGTTTGCATCGTGCCACGTTACAGCCAGGGATAAACAACCCATTTGTGTTGTCATCACCTTCTAAACAGATAGAATTGATATTTCAACTGAACTAGAGGTCTTTTCCCCCTCCAGAAAACACTTCCATATGTCAACATTTAACCCTAAGTAAAATAAACACTGCTTTTGACGTTCTGCTGTGCAGAGAGGCTTTTCTTCACTGAATCTTTGGAGCTTTGAGGCATCTCCTAGCTCTGAAAAGCACTCAAGTTTGTCATCTTGAGCAAAAAAGGTTTTAACAGCATTTCATGAGTAGCAATAAGGATTCCACTAAAAAGGGAACAAGGCAGCACTTTATGTTTTTAAGCATATTTTGTGCAACTTTACAGTGGGATCCCTGAGAAGGCTCTGCAGCAAAATTTTTTTTTTTTTTAATGAGTCTTTTAGACAGTATGTAAAAACAGAGTCAAGGTTTATATAAATGTCTGTTATCTGGGAAAATACTGTCTGGGCATTTTGTGGAAAAAACTGTTTGAACTTTTCCTGCAGATGAGTACTCAGTGCTTTACTAATCCCACCCTCCACAAAACTCAGGCCTGCATTGATTTTCAAGTATTTCCAAAGCATTTTTAAAGCAAGCAGCCAGTGATAGGACCTAAGGGAACAGCTGGAGCTGTGTCAGAGGGATTTTTGGCTTAGATATCAGGGAAAGGATCTTCCCCCAGAGGGTGCTGGGCACTGCCCCAGGAATGGGCACAATCCTAAGGCTGCCAGAGCTCCAGGAGAGTTTGGACAAGGCTCTCAGGGATGGCAGGGTGGGATTGTTGGGGTGTCTGTGCAGGGACAGGAGCTGGATCAATGATCCTTGTGGGTCACTTTCAGCTCAGGGTATTCTGTTATTTTATGAGTATTCACCTGCAATTCCAAAGTGCTTAACACTTATTTCCACTGATCAATCACTTCTGGTTTCCTGGGCTAATATAAACACTGACCCCACCACCACTTCCCCTTCCCAAATTTCCAGCGTCAGGAGTGAAAAAGGGGAGCTCACAAGGTGCATGCAGACACCAATGTCTTGGCTAAGTCCTTCCTGCAAGAGTGAAGAGCAGTGACCACAAAGGTTCCTGCACAGGGCACACACTGGAGACAATCAGTGATCCACTTGAAAAAACCCAACATGGAACACGTCCAGGACAGTCCCCTCGGGGTGTGGGGGCACAGGGGGACAGTGACACCCACACAGACATGCACACAGAGGTTGCACAGTTTACCAACCCTCAGGCTTCCACGGCTACCCACTGACATGCGCTCATCTTCATCCGAAGCCTAGCGAGAGAAAGCGTAGAGACAAAAAAAAAAACAAAACAGTGAAAAGAACACAGGTAACAGGCACTGATGGCTTGGATGGGACAGGAGGAAGGGAAAGATGCACAAACTCAATGTTTTTAAAAAAGAATTGCATTGGAAGTATAAGCAGAAAGCAAATGAAATCATAAATCATACCCTGCCCAAGAAACAGTCAAGCATTTTACTGCAGGGTGAAGGAGGAGCTTGCTTAGGTGTTCCCTGCTCTGTGCTCTTGGCCCTTTAATGAACATTAAACACTCCAAACAGGTTATTTCCCACTTTCCACCCCCTTTATTCTTGCACATTTGCAAAAGCTCCCTGGAGTGACTGGGGAGAGGGCAGAGAAGTCAGGAAGTGGCTTTGGGGTTTGCACTTGCCGGGGGTGGCGGGAGCTTGTTTTGGTTCCTTTTCTTTTGAGAAGGAAGTGCTTTATACACGTCTGTTTTCTTAATCTGAAACGTCTGGCTGAACAGAAAAAGCAAAAGCAGGTACTGACCGAGGCATTTCTTCGGGCTCTACGGGAATAACGCTCACTGTCTTCCTACCAAGGCAGCAGAGAGAAAACAGAGGGAGGTGTTGAGAGGACAGACACAGCAACAGAGCCTTCCAGAGACACACAGAGAACTCCAGCCACGCTCAGGAGCCAGTAAAGTTAAACCAAACAACAGGAGGTGACACCCTGTCACAGCAGAAAAACCCTTCCTCCCTCCTCTGAGACCCCAAATTTCCTCTCAGCTACACAGCCTCTGTGACACTGGAAACGCCATCAAGATGATTTACATTTCAACAAGCTGATTTTAACAAAATTTTGGAAATGAATTTAGAATTTAGAAACAGCAGTAGAAAACAGCAAAAAAAAAAAAAAAAAAACCAAAAAAGTTTCAATATTGTAGTCAACAGATTGTCACAGGTGAGCTGATTTCCAAGCAAGGGAACTGCCAGTAAGATGGAGTTACGCTCATCCAGCAAGAATTTGAGGAGACTCGGTGTGAGTCTGGGGTGGGTGGGTGGTCCATGCAAACCAGTATTTACTGATGAATTATCACAGACCAAGGAATTTGGGGAGTTTGGGAAGTTACCTTCTACACTGGGAGCCAGCTGTTCAGTTTTGCCTTTTCCAGTGTGCACTACTCAGCTTTGCAGGGCAAGGCCACAGCTTTCAGCTGGCACTGCTGGTAACTGGTTTCATAAACTTAGGGTTGAAAAACTTTTGAAGCCAGTGACTTCCAGCCCATTAGCAACTTCTTCATCTTCTATCATGGATGTTAAAACAGTCAGATGTTGCTAGTGGCCAAGTCTGCAGCTGGTATTAACTGGTTTTAGCAAATTCTAAAATCCAGGATATGGTATCACTGGAAAAAAAGTGTGGATTGCCACCATAGCAGTAATAATTCTTCTGAGGGATTCCCCTGGGCCAGTAAGTGCTAAGGGAAATGAAACAGCATGAGTGAAACTTGCCCACAATTTACATGAAGGCAAATTTAAGAAGACTCAAGTGGTGATGAAACCCACAAAAAGTAAAATGAGCACAAATACTCCCTGTATCCCAAGGGGCTTTAACAGGTTTTTATCCTAACTTAATCTTCCAGCGATAGCATGGACACAGGTCTCTAAAAAGAGATGGCTCTAACCCAGTCCTTGCCAGTTTTAAGCTGATCAAAACTCACATTTCAGCTGGAAAAGCAGGACTGTGGGACTGGAGTGGAACTCACACTCCCAGTGCATGAAAATACCTGCTTGGAGGGATCTCAAACTCTATGAACTACACAGAACTGCAACACGCAAAAGTTGTTGAGCTACGTTGATCAAGTCCTACCATCCATTGCTCGATGTCTCCCCACTTAGTATCCAGCCCATAATATTTCTACAGACAGAAAAGGGAAAAAAAACAGAATTTAGATGAGAAAAGCAAACAGAGAACATTTAGACATGCACTGCCAGGCCTTGGCCAAGCCACACAGCTGCACATGAACATGCCAGTGAGAGATGTGCCACGTGGCACCAGAGCCCTCCGCAAAGAGTGTCTGGGAAAAGCTGCCTGGAAAGGGGAAAGGGGAGTTTGGGCATGACCGGGGTGCTCAGCTGCTTCTTCTCCCTCAGCACTGCAAAACCCCCTGTGCTGGGGGACAGGAGCAAGGAGGGTAATGAGTCTTGAATTCCTGACCCAGTTAAGTCAAGACTCATTACAAGGGAGGCGAGCACAGGACACTTCCAGGATGAAAATTGCTGTCAAATCATGTTTCCCGTAAAGGTTTGTCAAACTGGGCAGACAAGTTGGATACAACTCATCTCTGGGCACCCTGATTTGCTGGATTAGAGCTCCACAGAGCTCCTTTCAGAGCACCAGGCTTTTTGCCTATGCTTGACCCACCTGAGAGCAGTGGCAGCACCAAAAAGGGTACAAGAGGACAAGATCCACCAGGGCAGGCCAAGACGACACTGGGAACTTCCCCGTGAACTTGAATTTCCTCCAGGCAGCAAGTTGTTCAAAGATCCACAGGTTTAATGGGACTTTTCTTCCTCCCCAAACCAGCCTGTCAAATCTGGTCTTAGGAATTTTGTGTTTGCAATAGTGTCCATTAAAATGATTCCTGTGTGAATTAAAATCATTGGCCTAAAGCACAGCAGTAGGCAAATGGAAATCCTGCTTAATGAAGGAAGAATAATACGCATTTTAGAGCTTTCTTACAGGCTTGAGGAGGCAGGAGTATCAACAGCCAAAACCTTAGGAAATTATTTAAAAAAAAAAATCAGAAACTTATTCTGTATTGCACTCCGTTTTTAGCACTCACTCAATGGTATTAATGTAATTTTATTTTCACCCTTAAAACCTCATTCACTATTTATTGATAAACCAAACCAAACAACTGCACATTCTTCAGTGCTGTATTACTTTATTCCCACTTCAGATTCATAACCCATGCACCAGCTTGTTATAGAAGTAACTGTTGTGCATTTCTCAGCCTGAGAATGACCCCTGAAAACTGCATGAACTCCCTGAGCTGTGTACACGATGGGAATCTACAGATTATATGCTTTGTAGTAAAGCAGGTCAGGTAAAGCCTTAGTAGAGGCTTTTTAGCCATTAACAGACTGAGAACATTTTCTAACACTAGACATCAATTTAAAAAACAGAAACACACTATTAAAATGGAGAACCCTTTTTCACACACAGGAAGGCTTCATAAACACACTTGTAATTTTTTTAGGGTTTGCTGCTTCCTTTTCATGCCCTCTCACTGTCTGACACTGGCTTACGAATTCAGCCTTGCAAAAGGCAGATAAGGAAACAGTCCTTACAAGACTTGCTATGTCACAGTTTAAGTTCCACTTACAGGCTTTTCCTTCTCCATTTCAAATTACTCAGCTAAGTGCCTAACATCCCCTGAAGAAAAAATCTTAATGAATGAGACTGCCCAGAGACTATTTTAATTTATAATCTTTTAAAGAGCACGTGCCATACTGGACTGAACTGGCAGCTTTTGAGCTCTCAAGTATTTTGACCCCTCACAGCCACTTTTCTCGGTTCTCCCTCTAAACCAACTCTTCTGTTCTGCGCTCAGGGGCCTGATTCCAATGAGCTGAAGGAGGAAATGCTGCTTTTCCATTCATTCAGGTTTCAGTTAGAGGCCCTTGCTGGACTCAGGTTCCCTTCCACCTTGAAAAGTGATATTACAATTGAATATTAATGATGTTAATACCATTGAGAGAGAATTCCAGATGCCATTTGCTCACTGAGCGCCAGTGAAACCGCCGGACTCAAACTCACCATGGGATGTTGGGAGGACAACCCACTTATCTCCTCATCCATGTCAGGACACCAACAGTAAACAACCTCCTGGGCTCCCACGGGGCTGCTTCTGCACCAGGAGGTGAAATTAGTCCCCATAAAGAAGATTAATAAGGAGCCTGTCGATCCATGGGCAGACACTGAGTCACTCAGCGCAAAGTCAACTCCAGAAGTAAAACCAGGAGTGAGAGGGACTTGTTGCCAAATTGATGGGGTCAGGATTAAGTACCAGAGCACATGATTTGAGCAGCTCTTTTCATATACACACACACTCAAAGAGGAGAACAGCACTCCCAAGAAGCACATGCAGGGCTGGGGCAGGCTTTGAAACATGCAGTTAGGGCAGCTGGAGTGCCAGAGCAAAACCAAGCACACTGTGGTTTATGGAGACATTCATCACTCAGCAAGCAATAAAAACATCTCAGGAAGAAAAAAAAGAGAAATATTCAATAAGGTAGAAAATCGCAGGCTTGAAGAAAAATGTGCTTTCTCCCTCCCTGTAAAAATTCTTGGGAGTTATTTCTGTTCCTAGGTGCCACTCAGCTCACATGCTGAAAGTATAGAACAGCCAGGCTGTTATATTCATTTATTTTCAGATGTCTGGCTGCTATTTCAAACCCCAAAATCTCTGTTTCTACCTAGCAAGTGACCTCAGTTAGAGCTACTGTTATCATCCTCTTTGCCATCATTGTGGAAAGGAAATTGGGAAGAGGGAAGAGATCATGACTTTAAACTGAGATGAGAGAGGATTAAACAATATAAAATCACTTTTAATGTGTGGGTTGAAGGCCATAGAGTTTATTCACCCAAGGATTATGAATTCAAATACCACATCCCTGATTTCCTTCAGTGACTGTGCAAATAAAGTCATCTGCAAGTCATTCTTCCTGCTGGCACCTGTTAAATGCTTGCCCAGCCTGAAACATTCCAGTGATTTCCTTGGCCTTCAGCACACTGACAGAGGTGACACAGGGAGCCACTGTGCCCTCCTGCGACCCTGCTTTGCCAAGTCACTTCTCTGTTATTGCTTACCCTTTGCCAAACAGGCTGTAAAAAAAAAATCACATGAAGTGCCTGACCAGACACCTTACATGGGTCATCTTCCCCCACTCCCCTTGACTGTCCACTCCACAACATTATGGGAGGGGAGGGCAGAATTACATGGAAATTTGCAGCCTGCTGGGCATCTCCCACTCTTCAGAGGATTTCCAAGGTTGGACTCCAGGATCTTGGAGGCCTTTTGCCACCTAAATGGCTGTGTGGTTGTGAAATTGTAGCAAGACTCACAGGTGGGAAGAAAAGGCATGCAAACAAGAAGGAAAGCGAGCAAGCCCTACCTTCTGCACCTGATAGATCTGGGGGGAAAGGGAGAGGAAAGAAACAAGGAACAAAGCTAGCATGAATGATGGATACATAGCAATGCTCCACAGCTCGTTCTGGAGGGAAAAAACAGCATTTACAGAGAAAACACAGCAGAACATCAATACAGAGAAGAGCACAGCGAAGCCCTGTGGATTTAGGGAGGCCAAAAGCAGTGTTTGCATCGTGGGCCTCCTCCACGTGACTGGCTAGAGCACAGCATTCCTGTTCCCATTCCCACCAGGCTCTGGGGTGCACATGGGACATTTTATCACCAGGCTTTGCACCAGGCCAGAGCCCAGCCCAGCTGTGAGCCATGACCTTCTATTTTTCCAGCCTTCCCTCCAAAACAGGAATGGATGCCCAAATACCCATCCGGGACGAGTTGTGTATTTACCACCACAACAAAAGCAAACAGCATTAACTACAGACCAACTGTTCCTCTTTGGAGGACAGAATTTGTCCTTGAGGGATGAAGCACAGTTACAAAAGCACCAACCTCACACACCTCTCACCTGTGCACAGCACAGTGCCAGTGTGTGAAAATTCCTGGAAAATTCTTTGCTCATATATTGCTGGCCTTAAAGGATCCCTGCAGGCCGTTCTGTCAGTTTTTAATGTTTCTGTGGAACAGAAACACTATTCACACTGTTTTCAGGCTTTAATAAATGTCCTGCTGACATTGTTATTCCACAGTCTTGGAGCACTTTGATAAGACACAAAACCTTTACAGCCGCTCTACTGCACCTGAATTTTGTGCTCTTGGAGAACTGCCCTTGACTGATGAGCTTTGTGAATCCACATGAAAACAGAAAACAGGTTTTTTTCTCACATCTTTCCTGAAACCAGGAACGTTTCTGATTACCTCAAAGAACTCTTCTTGTTAAAAAACACCTGGCTGGCTGCACAATCCTCTGGTGGCAAGGCAGTCAAGTCTCCCAGATTTTGGGGTATTTGGAGGATCCCTGCCATTCACTGCTCTCAGGGATATCTCATGGGAACCTGGATCCCAGTGCTGGGAAGCAAAGCTTATGTCTCCCAATCCCTGCCCTCCTGATCAGGTTCCCCTTCACAAAGGACAACTGCACAACCCAGATAAATGCCTCAGCAGCTTTAATTCCCATTCCAGCAAGCACAGGAGGGAAAATTAGGATCCATTTAAAAACCAGCACTCCCACCACACAAGTAACCACCCCACTTCCCTCTCCCTAAGAGAGCCATGAAGAGGAAAATGAACTGGGCCCTCCCACAAGGCTGCACACAATTCCAATTTCTGGCTTCTCCACAGCACACTCGGAGTGCCTTTCATCCACACACAGGAGCCAAACACCTCAGGTTCAAATGTGGCAATTACCACACAGCTGACTGACCTCAAAGCTTTAACTTTTCCATTCTGTTTTTTTCACCCACTCCTCGAGGCAGCTCCATGGAATCCTTATTTTCCAAAGCCCAGTGCCCCAGGCTTGGCACAGCAGGTGTTCCCTGCTGAGACCAAAGCAAGGCACGCAAGGAGCCTCGTGCCCAGGACCCAAATTGCCAATGGACAAGATAACAACGGGGCCCTTGTTCAGGCCAGGCACTGTGCAGGGAGGTGGGGAGGCCTCAGGGATAAAGCCAAGTGCATCACTTAACTATTCCAGCTTTTAATAAAACCTGGAGTTTTGGAGGAACCCATTAGCCAACAGCTCTCATCCAAAGTGACTGATCCTTCAGCAGTGCATGAGGGAAAGGGGTCCCTGTCCATGGCAGGGAGGCTGGAATCAGGGCATTTTTAAGGGTTTTTCCAACCCAGGCCATTTTAGGATTCTGTAATGACATGGTCCTCTTTAGAAAATGTGGTACAAGAGAAAACATACACTTTTAAACAATCACCTCTGTTGCAGATGTGTCCCCCCCAAAAAGAGTTAATACAGATCTAAGCAGTCAAATGCCTTAAAGAGCAGTTTCCTGTATTAGGGTATGACCAAAAATCCCAAATGTGTTTTACCCACATTATTAACAGCAGACAGCTTTCCTGATTTCCTCATCAAAGGAGGCTGCCCACAAAAATAAAGTTTTTCATAGAAGTAGGTTTAAAACAGGACAGGAAAAGCCAGTGTTACATGGTGGCAGAAGAAGAGTCTGCTAAAAACATCATCTGCATCATCCCTCTTCAAATTTTCCTGGGCATCTTCACAGTGAGTGTATAAGACACAGATGAACCACCACAAACCTCCTTCATTTCTTCCCTGCTTATGTAAGCACCAAGTTTCATAGTCACTCTCACCCCTCCCCATTCGAGCCACAAGAATCTGCTTTTCCCTTTTTTTTTTTTTTTACTAGAAAGCAGTGGTAGTGTATTTTATTCCAAAGAAATATGAATCCAAAGGGGGAAAAATATGTGCAAGTGAGGTAAGGAAGGAATTTACAAAACAGCCAAGGCAAGTTTCATGCTGTGCCCTTAAAGCAAGTGCTGCAAATGAAGGCAGGAGACCAGCACAGTGCACTTGCCTTGAACCAGAAGTACAGGCTCATCTGCTGTGTGAACTGGCAGGGAAGAATCTTATCCCACCGATTAAGGAGTGGGAGGAGATCAGTCTCTTTTCACTTCAGGCACTAATATCAGCTTACACTGTGGTCTCCAAGTGTCAGCCCTTGAAGAGACATTTAAAGCCTTGCCAGCAGAACACACAGAAGGCACTCCTACAGAAAGCATTCTCTACAATTAGCCCTATTGCTGCAGCTTTTATGTCTCAAAACTGTTACTGTTAAATATTGCCTGGGAAAAAAAAGGGTTTAATACATTTCAGGTCAAACTGCTGAGAGAAAAAAATAAATGCAAAGGAAAAAAAAAATTTCTTCCTCCAATTTTACCTTGTAGCCCCATGAGCATTAACAAATTGTTACTCAGAAAAACTGGGCTGCCCACTCCTGGCTTGCTGTTCTGCATGAATTAACAATAAATACCTGAGTGCACACAGGAATTTGTCTCAGGACCACATCTCAACAGTACAAGCCAAAGAGACTGGCCTCAGACTCTGCAGCTGGAAACCAAATGTTTCAAAAGCATGGCAGCATGGTATGGTAAACCAGGACCCATCACTGCTCCGACTCCCACCAGTGGTGGGAAACCAGGGAAGGGAGGAAATCCCATGTATTTTAATTGTCCTTCCAGCTCAGAACAGGCCCTGGCAATGAGAGCTGCCCTGCACTCACTGATGTGTGGAAGCAAACCAGAGAATTTAAGCAGACCTCCAGATTAATTATTTACATCTTTGGTGGGTAACAACTACAAAGCAGCTCTGAACGAGAAGTCAGAAGCACTCAAGCTGTAACGCTTGTCAGACCTGTGCCCTTCCTAAAGCCTCATCACCAAGAACACATTCTCTGATAAATATACAAATTGATTCACATCTCTGTGATTCAGGAGTGACCAACACCCTTATCTTCAGAGGGACTCCCCATGTCCTGAGCTGATCCCACAGTGTGGGCAGCAGGACAGGGGAATTCTGCCCCTCTGCCTTGCTCAGGTGAGACTCCCACCTGCAGAGCTATTGGAGAGAGCCCAGAGGAAGCATCAGGATGATCAGAGGGATGGGGCAGTTCTGCTGTGGGGAAAGGCTGGGAGCATTGGGAATGCTCCAACAGGAGCCCATCCAACAGGAAAGATGGTGCAACACTGTTTACAAGGGACTGGAGTGACAGGACAAGGGAAATGGCTTCCCACTGGCAGGGAGTAGGCTGACATTGGGATGTGATATTGGGAAGGAATTCTTCCCTGTAAGGTGGTGAGGCCCTGGCACAGGGTGCCCAGAGAAGCTGTGGCTGCCCCTGGATCCCTGTAAGTGTTCCAGGCCAGACCTGGTTGGACAGAGCAGCCTGGGCTAGTGGAAGGTGTCCCTGCCCATGGCAGGGGGTTCAACAATTTAAGTTTTAAGGCCCTTTCAAATCAACACATTCTGGGATTCTGTGATCAGGTCATGATTCTTGCGCTCACTTTTTTCTTCAGCTTTAGAAAACACTTTTCATGTACCCAGCTTATACTTCCCTATGAAACTTATGCTCACCTTCTCCTCTTTAGCTTCCCCTCCTTGGAGGAAAAAAAACCAACAAAGAAACCAAATCAGAATACCCAAACCACTGGCACAGTTACCCTTCTTTGTGCTGCCTGGCACGAGGTGGTGCCAGGTGAGGAGGTGATCCTGCCTCTGGAGCACACCTGCAACCCTGCCCCACCGCAGAGCAGTCTTCCACAGGAACATTCCCACATCTCCCCTCAACTGAGAGCTCTCTGCCAAAAGCCCAGCTATTCCTGCTGTACAATTTCTCAATCATATGTGTAGACTCTTCATGCAAAAGTCACCCAACTACTTTAAAATGAGGGAAATGAAGTGCAAGACTGAGAAATGTCATAAATATGAGGTGGTGCGCAGGAGAGGAGCCAGTTTCCAAACCCAAATCATTAAAACACCCTCTTTCACTGCCAGAGTTATAGCCTGTAATGGTAGCACCTGGAAACTTTTAACTCAGACCAGCAGTGTAAATATATTTCCAAGTAATCCATGCTCCACAAGAAGCCTGCCAGGGCATGCACATGGCTTAAAGCATGAAAAACTACACGCACACGCAATAAATTCATTTATTGCTTTTTAACTCCCAGAAGGGAGTTAGGGCTCTAAAAAGCCTTCTGAAGTAGTAAAGCAAGTGCTTTAACTTCTGGTTATTTAACATGGCAGCAGTGGAAAAGCAGTCTTTATGTTCCTGAAAAGTTTGCAAAGGGAAATGAAGATGGCAGAGAACCAGGTGTACAGATCCCAGTGTCACAGCAGGTTCCCCTCCAAGGAGGGGACAGGTGCCAAATATCTTGTGTTGATCACTGCTTGGGATTTTCTGTATTTATGTTTTATTGTACCTGCAAGGCACTTGTGGCAATGAAAAACTTCCTGCAGCTATCCTTAATATCTCTACCTGGCATCTGGGGGCTAAGATTAAACTATTTCAAAAAGTTACAGAATATTCAAACTTGTAAAATATTAAATAAATGCCTCATTTATGCCAGTGAGTTACAAAGCAGATTGTGATGGGTATCTGGCTGAGCTTTTAATGACTGTGGTATTTCAGAGGGACATCCTGCCCTACCCAATTTCTATCTATACAAAGTTTTCACAGGTTTTCAGATGACAAGCTCTTAATTGCAGGAGCTTTAGCTTTCACACCTAAATTTCAGTTTACCAAGACACCCTTTGCAGCATCAGCTTTTAATCTGCAAAGGGGTCATCAGCTTCATTAAGTCACCTGCAAATTAGATGGTGTCAGCTGCCAGGACACCCCTATTTACTGTGCTACCCAAACAAAACACGTGGTGCCTGTTTAGCACAGCCCTCCCACGGCTGCTCCCAAGCCCCCCCGCCCCGGCTGCCAGCTCAGCAGTGACAGCACTTCCCAGGGTGGGCCAGGCTGCAAGAAACATCCTTCAGAAAGCAGCAACTGCAGCAGAAGAAGGCTCCCACCTTCCCCAAGCTCTCTGTTTGCAGCAAGGGAGCTGAGACACATCCAGACCTGCCTCACCAAAAGCTGAGCGTGGGCAGCCTGCCCAGGAGCTTCTCTGCGGGCTGGCTGCTGCAGCCTGCACTGGCACTGCTCCGCTGTCACATCCTGAGCCACATCCTGCTGTCACCTCCTGATTCACTGCTCCAAAGCTCAACCAGATCCTGCTCTGCACCCTAAAGCAAATGTAGAACCACTGAATGGCCTGGGTTGGAAGGGACCTTAAGATCATCCAATTCCATCCCCTACCATGGGCAGGGACACCTTCCACTATCCCAGGTTGTTCCAATCGCCATCCAGCCTGGCCTTGGACACTTCCAGGGATCCAGGGGCAGCCACGGCTTCTCTGAGCACCCTGTGCCAGGACCTCCCCACCCTCACAGGGAAGATGTTTTCCCTAATATCCAATCCAACTCTGTCCATTGTCAGTGTGAAGACACTTCCCTTTTTTCCTGCCCCACATTTATTCTCAGTATGTATTCCCAGACCCTTCCCCCAGACTCCCTACTTCTTCCTTCTCCTTCAAAAATCTACTGAAAAAACTAATTCGTGATTACTCTTGTAATCACAATTTGTCCCTCTTGCAGCTACTCTACTGCTTCACTGAATGCACATCACCCAACACAGCTTTTGAGAGCTTCTGGTTCAGTTCACCAGGTAATGCTTTGCCAAGTGCAGCTCCTACCCTTGTCCCTGCCAAGAGCAGCCCACCCTTCTTACAAACTTGGGGAGAGCACGGGCACCAGCTTCACAGCAGGAAGCAGAACAACTTCCCAGTGGAGTTATACAAAGGCCAGGAATCTTCCATATTCATTGGATTTCTAACGAAGTGATAAGAATCCACCGCCTCTGACAGGCACACAAAGAAGCCGCATACTTCAAAGTTTAACATTAAACAAGAATTACTAACCACCAGGATTTTCTGTGAATAATTACGCTGGCTTCACCGAGATAAAATCCTTGCCACGATCCGCGTTTTTTCCAGGTTTTTCTATGATCAACATTAGCTCCACGCAGACTACTTCAGCAAAATACAGACGAGCCCTCTGTTCCAGGATCTCTGAACATCCTCCCCCCCGGATACAACCCAGGCACCCCCCAAAGCCTCGGCCTTACCTCCTTCTGCTGCCTCTCCAGCTCTTTCATCCGGATCTCCCGCGCCTCCGCCCGCGCCGCTCTCTTCGCCGCGAGTCTGGCTTCAGCCTGGGAACAGGAACACAGGGATGGGATGAGATGAAAGCTGGGCAACCCAACGGGGAACACGCTCCGGAAGCAGGGCAGGGAATGGGGAGGCTTGACTCGGCAAGGCTGTAAACACATCTGTAGGAGTTAATTCCCTCTTGCAGGTAATGGCCCTGCCTTCCCTAACTTGTTATCGTAACAGCGAGGTAAAACACCCCCGTGCAGGCACTACCCTCCCTGAGCACACTTGTGTTTAGAAGAGATCTTTAATTATTATTTGTGTGGCTGGAGAGGAAGCAGGTTGATTTATTTCAGAAAGGCAGGTTTTGCTCTTTTTGTTTCGGGTTGGTTGTTTGGTTTTTTCTCTCCCCTGCAGGTGGATTGTTTTTTTATTGATGAATTAATTTGACCAACACCAAACACATTATGTGCTATTTTTCCTAACCACTGACACTGTGCACACATACCTCCGCACAGGATTTGGGTAAACAGTGGAGTACAGTATGCACAGCTAAGGCTGAAATTATGGAGAGAAAATGCACTAGCTCCATTATAAATCTCCAAAATTCCATATTCCAGTCCAAACCTTGCTGGAGCGGAATTCTGCCAAGAACAGACCTCTCGAGAGATCTACAGTGCTTCCTCACTTCAGCCCAGTTGGAAGTGATGGAACATCACTTGTAGAGTAACATTTTTAATATTCTGCTTTAAATCCCAGGCAAAGCCAGTAGGTCTTACAGAGGAAAAAGTAAAATTAGCTCAGGCTTGGTCCAGTACAGCCGTGAGCAGCTCACCCAGAGGAATTCAGAACAGCTCAGCAGGGAGCCAAAGGCACAGCTCACAGCCAGTCACCCTGGTGTTACACCCAACTCCTCTGCTTCTGAAACCTTTTACTGTAAGTGCAGCATCCAAACTGACAGGAAAACCTGCCATAACATCAAGGTCAAGCACACAGAGAAACCAAAACGCCGGTGTTTTCAGTGGCGCTTCTAAACAAGGAAAACTACCAAAAAATAGAAAGGTGTAATTTCTATTCCCTTCTGTAAGTGCAGTCACCACTCAAATCCAGGGAAAAGGGTCACAGCCTCCAAAAACACAACCAAAACATGGAAAAAAAAGCCAAAAGAAAAGAGGAGTGGGATGGTTGAAAGTTGCAGTTAACAGAAAAGGGCTGATGAAAATCAAGCACGAGCTGATGCATGGGAGGACCAGGAGCTTTGTGATGATGTAGATCTTAAAACCACAGAATAGAGGAGACCAAGAGGGGATCTCACCAATCCATATAAATCCATACAAATATCCCAAAGGTCACCAAGAGGGTGGTGCCAGACTCTTCTCAGTGGTGTCCAGCTGCAGGATGAGGAGCAATGGCCATGAACTAAACCACAAGAAGTTCCACCTCGCTACAAGTGAGAATTTCTGTTCACTGAGGGTGGCAGAGCACTGGAACAGCTGCCCAGGGAGGCTCCCTGTCTGGAGGCATCCCAAACCCATCTGGACATGTTTCAGTGTCACCTGCTCTAGGTGACCCAGGGGATTGCACTGGGACTCCAGAGGTCCCGGCCAACCCCAAATGTTCTGTTACTCTGTGAAGTCTGAAAAATTACTTGTAAAAAGGAAACAAGTCTTCTGAGAGAATTAAAGAAAAAGCCCCTGGCAGAAAGAGCAAAGGGCTGGTTTGGCACAGAGCTGCTCTCCCTTGAGTTCTTTGCCTGAATTTTGAGGTAAGGGCTCTGCCATGGACAGAAACTCGTAGTAGGAGCAGACCCTCCACACCTGCACCCAAAACCATCCCCTCCCATAACCTGTTACTTACAGAGCCAGGTGACAGCAGGCTCCAGGTGAATCAGGCATGAATCCCCAAACGTGTTTTCAACAACACATCCCAACCTGAAGCACTGTGTCCAGGAAAAGAAAGCCCCAGCCCTGCTGCTGCTGCTGGGCAAAGCCTGGGTGGAACCCCTGACAGGCAGTGCTGTGACCCACCTGCAGCGTTTGGAGTTGCTGATGACACCCACTACCCAAACATGCCCTGAAATGTGTGCTGAAGGCACGAAATCACGGCTCTGGAAACAAGCCTGGTATTGACTTGATCCTGCGATCCCTCCTGTTTATTTAAAAATAAACACTGGCAAACCCCACCTGATAGAGGTGAGGAATAACACCAGCACAAACTGGTTTTTCCCTATTGAAAACAAAGTGTCCTAAAGTCTCCATAAGCAAAACACACCAAACAGTACAGGCTGTGTATCCCCAACTTCCCTCCTGACAGAAAAAGGCAGAAACAAGATTATTTGGATGCTAACATGATTGTAGCTGTCATCCTCATGAATTTCAATAACCAGCTGAGCTTTCACATCAGAGCTAGGTGCCTATATGTAAAATTCAGATATAATTCAAATGATACATATTTCCCCTTGTTTTCCTTGTACAATAAGGGCCAAAGGATTTACACACTTGCTAGCTACGTTGCAGAATGATATATTCTCACAGAAGCAAGAACAATATAATATGAAGTGAAGGAGCTTGAAAATAGGAAAAAAATTTAAAATTTAGCCAGTTTTTCTCGGGCCTTCCTGAGAATGCGGCTCGCCAGTTTCTAAATTACAGATACCAGCTGCAGGAAGTTAAATGAATTTTACTTTGTGCAAAACCACACATTTCGTGTGTCATTTCTTAGAAAACAATTCTGCTTTTAGTGCCAATCCATGGTGCATCTCTGCTTTATTCTATTTCATCTTTGCAGCCCTCCAGATGCCCATTTAAAGCCAACCTGCAAATCTTGTAAGAACAAAACCACATTTTCACTCAGCAGCTTTGACTAACAATGGCTTACATCTTGGAACAAGCATATTGTTTATTTATGAACTTTTTCTTTCCATGACCACGTCAGCCTTAAGTATCTTTGAATACAAACAGAAACAGTATCCTGGGTTCTTGAACTTTAGGCTAAAAACCGTGGTTATCACAGACTGGTACCTTTGTAAGAAGTCATCGAGTGTTATTCCATCCTGAACACCCGTATTTTAGAGCAACTCATTTTCATCACATTGAAACAAATAATTACAGGATTGTTTGGGCTGGCAGGGACCTCAGGAGGTGTCCAGTCCACCCTCCTGCTCAAAGCAGGGTCAGCATCACATTTGGATCACACTGCTTAGGGCTTGGTCCAGATGGCTCTTGAAAACCTCTGAGTTTGGTGGCTCCACAGCCTCTCCAGGCTCCTGTTCCACTGCCTGACCATCCTCATGGAATAAAGGAATTCCCACCAAATCCTGCTCTTAGCTCCTTAATAACCCCAACTTCTCTGTCAGAAGGCTGCTGTACCTTAAGGGCTGCATCAAGCACTAAGGAATATTTTCAAGCACGTTCTCAAGGATGTCTGGGTGCCATTTAGATGATTACACAGTTATTTTCACCGTGGTTCCTGACCAAACACCAGCTCATTTGTGCTGGACAAAGGAGGGTTTGTAAGAAACAGGCCATCCTTCCCTAAAGGGTTTTTGAGCCCACGGCAAAATGAGAGAAGGGAGGGGGGGACAGGAAATATGCAAAGAGGAAAAAAAAAAGGCTTCAGTATGTGAGGCTACCCACAAGTCTTTGGAGGGTGTTCTCCAGCTCAACAGAAATAAATCATGCTATAGTCAGGCCAGCCATCAAATAGTCAACCTGTGGCCTTCACAATCCCATTTCTAGCATGCTTTGGTGGATGGAATTACTTAACTCAGAATGAATTTTTTTTTAATACTCTGTAGGTGGCCTTGGTGATGAAGCTGGTATCACCTGTGAGCTCAGAGGAAGTAAATCCATCAGGACAGGGAGGAGTCCACATCTCGCTGGGTAAGAAATTATCAAAGTCAAACCAAAATCTGGTAGCAAGCCTAACAAATCCTGCAGTGAGTGTGGGAGCCTGTTGCACACAGCTTTTCCTGTGCCAAAGCCCAGCTCAGGTACAGCGGGTGCCTCCCAGCACGGCACAGGGCAAGGACACCCAGAGCAGCCCCAGCTGCTCAAGCTGTGAACCTTTAGGGCATGTAAGAATAAAAACACAGGCCAGACTTTCAGACAAACCCAGAGGAGTGTCAGATTTATCGTGGGCCTCTTCCTCAGCAGCACGGGTGTGACGGAACGCATCGGGATTTGTCAGACCACACTCTCTGAGCCTCTTGGACTCTGCTCTGTGCTATAAATACCTTGATTTCTTGCACAGCCTGCAAGCAGCAACGCTAACTTTACATTCTCTCTCTGTGCTGACTAAACCAAAACAGGCTTTGCCTGGCTGACTTTGGTCTTTGGTCAGCCCAAGCACTTGACAGAGCCGAGTCACCTCTAAGGGCAGTAGCAGAGACACTACAGCCTGTAAGAGACACTGCTGAACATGAGAAAACCACCCAAAATTTCACATACTTCTGAAATTCAGCTTACTAAAAGCTGTTCGTTAGGCTGCCTAAGGCATAAATAACTATTCAAGGGATGAAAGATTTAAAAAAAAAAATTAGAAATCACTAAGACTGAAGAAGAAGTCCCCTTGACTTCTTAAAATCATCTAAAATTCACCAGTGACTCAGCAAGCAATACAGGCCTCAATCAAAAGTGATAGATCACTGTCAAAAACAGAAGAATAAAAATATGAAGCCTAATTGCACTCATTACAAAGCTTTTGCAACTTCCCTTTTATGAAATATTGCTCATCTGACAAGAAGAACTGGCAGCTTCAGGCCTACTGAGCATGTCATACCAAAAAAACCCAAATCTCATCAGAAGCTTCTGTAAGGCCCCATGGGCAAAACGAGAGGAGATGGCAACCAGGCTGCTGAGATGAACAAGGAACTGGGCACCAGCTGAAAAATCATCACCTTAATTTATGGGACTCGCTCAAATACTACAAATACACACGCTGAATTCTTGGTTTTTTATTGCAGTTGCTCAGAATGATTTACAGTCACCAAGTCCTGAAAAAAATGCACTGCTGAACTCCAAAATGCTCGTTGCTTTTGCAGGCCTTCTTGCTCAGCACTTGA